ACGCGCTCCTAAACCCCGCAGCACCTCGCCGTCCAGCCCACCTGGGGCCCGCTTCCCTCCGGGCCAGCAGCCAGGGGTTGTAGGAAAAAAACACAGAAATACAATGGGGTCATGGGCTGGGTGTCCCTCATCCTCCCCGAGGGCAGAGATGGGCGCAAAGGAGGGGAAAAGCCACGGTGATGTTATCTCAGGGGATGCTCCTCTGCGTGCGCCCACCCTGTGATGCCAGCACAAGTGTCACCGAGTGTCCCCACCCCATAAACAGCCCCATGTGGCCCCACAGCCCCCCCCCCGTTTGTGGCAGGGCACGTCCCAGGGTGCCAGGCTGGGCGCAGGGCTCCCGCGTCCTCGGTGCCGGTTGTTTTCCAGCGGGGAGGCGTCGGGGCCAGCTGGCTGCCGCCGGGCTGGAACAGCGTGGCCTATTTTAAACCGCTTGCACAAGGAGTCAGCAGCTCCAGCGCGGATTTTTTCCGAACTTTATTTGTCCAAGCACTCCGCGGGGGAAGGAAAAGGGGGGGGGGAGGGAGCAGCTCCTGCTTGCTCCGCAGCCAGCGGCTCACCTGCGCCAGCGGTGGTCCGCGCTGCCGGCGGCGAGGCTAACGATGCTCGGGGTAAGGAGCCAGCTGCTCGCTGTGTGTCCCCCTGGATGGGAAGGGGGGGCCCCAAATCCAGCTCTGAGCGAGCATCCGAGCAAGTGTCCCGCCTCTGAAAGGCGGCGAGGACCTGTCTGGGTGCCAAGCATCCCGAGGGCGGGCGGCTCAGGCGCGCAGCGGGGCCTCGTGCCAGGCAGCCGCACGGATGGAAAGAGCCGCCGGGGAGCCAGGAGCTCTGCGAGGATGAAAGCCCAGCTGGATGCTGCTGAGGACACCGGGAAGGCTCAGAAACACCCAAAAAAGGGTGCTGGAGAGACCTCCTGCTACGAGAGCCTTGCTCACCAGGCACGGCTGTGATGCCCCCGGCTGCCCTGCTGACCTGGAGATGCCAGGACAAGATTTTCAGTAATTAGGCACTGCCAACTCCCCATTAACCCCCCCAATCTGCTCTTTCCCCATCCGACCACGTCCTCTGCAGGCTTTTCAGAAGGTCCCCGAGGCACCCAGCAGCCCTAAAACAGCCCAGCAGGGCAGCAGCTCCTCCCTGCCAGAAGGGCTCATGTTCCACAGCGCGGCCAGGGCACCCGACAATTTTTTCCATGCCATTTTCTTTCGACCAAGCCACTTATTAAAACCTCTTATGAAATAACTCCTCCTGCCCCGGGGCCGAGGTGAGCTCAGAAGCCCCTTTCCAGCTCTTTTGTCTAAAACCCAGCATCTCTCACGAGGGGTGGCAGCCAAAATGATGCAAAAGGCGATTTCCTCACCCCGCTGGTGGGAAAGCGCCGCGAAGGACGGAGGAGGGGGATGACTGCGCTTTAAAAAAATCCAATTGTGCTCAAAGTTTTGGTTTGTTGTTGTTGGTTTTTACCTTTTTTCCCAAGAAGCGGGAGCCATCCCGGCAAGTAGAAATAAATTATTTTATTTCCAGAGGCACCAGGCCCTCCGTTTGCTGGGAAGGGGCCGTGTCCCTGCGGCAGCACCGGGGGCACCGGAGCGGTGCGAGCACCCCGCTAGCAAAACCTACATCTCGGGTTGTCAGCTGCTGGCCGAGGGCCCTTTCGGGCTTTTTAAGATCGAAGCACGGCTCCGCTCTTGGAAGAAAAGGGGGAAACAACAACAAAAAAAAAGTTATCAGCTGCTGAGTGCTAGCTGGATGCGAGCGAGCCGCTGAGCTCGCGCCGGCCGGCCGGGGAGCCGCGCGGATGTCGTGTTGGCCAAAGGCAAGATGTTTATGGCCCTGGCTGGAAGCCCTTCTGAGAAACCCATCGCCGTGATTTACGGCGCTTCCGATGGATGCGAACCCGCTCCTCTCCCACTGACCAGCCCCTCCGAAAACATCTGCCAGATGTCAAAGGCGGAGGGGTGCGCGTGCCCGCGGGAAGGGCGACACCTGGGGCGCCGCGTCCCTGCCTGGCTGCTGGAGCTGCCCGGGGCTTTCCTCTTGGGGGGAGCAGAGGTAAAGGGGCAGCGCTGGGACCCCTGTCCCAGGGGAGCATCCTGCTGGGTTTGGGGTTGGTGGTGCTAGAGGGGGAGTGGGGTTTTTTCGGCTCTCAGGGTCCCCTGGGATGGGGATGCTGCTCCCAAGGGGGAGCGCTGCACGGCAGCAGCCGAGCTGCAGGCTGGGGGGCAAAACCCCACAGAAATGGGAATTTTGCCTCTTTAGGCCCTGGTTATGGATAGAAGGGGCAAAGATGCCACATCCCATGCTGGGTCTGACCATCACCCGTGTGAACCCACCAGCGTAGAGGAAGGAGCCCAGCACCTCCCAGCCACCGTGCTGCGCCTGCACAGCCACCACTCATTAATTAATTAGGCAAGGCTCCGTGACCCCAAGGCTTTTCTCCAGCCCACGCAGTTTTCCTGATGCCCCACGCACAGTTTTTTTTTGGGGGGACACCCCTCACCCCCCTGGCTGTGGGTCAGGGGACACAGCCACCGCCGGCTGTGACTGCAGCCGAGCGTAACGCAGCCCCGGCTGCTGCCAAATTTTTCACTTTTCGGAGCCCAATTTCATACGAAGGGGAGATTTTCGTGCTGCTGGAGCGAGGGACCTCCCCAGGGCAGCCAAGCTTGGGGGGGGCTCCTCCTTGGCACCCCCTCTCCAAGCCCCTGTTGCTGCTCCAGCTCGGCAAGGTTGCGAATCCTGCCCGGCGGAGGCCAGGAAACGCAAACGGGGAGGCTGCCCAGGCAAACAGATCCTCCTCCAAGCCCTTAAAAGACAAAAAGAAAAAAAAAAAAGAAACCACACAGGCATGGAAAAAGCCGGAGCCCACAGGAATCGCAGAGGCAGATCCCATCCCTGCTGTGATATCTTGGGGTGCTCAGCACCTCCCCGAGCACCCCCAGGCGCAGCACCGTGCCCAAACCAAGGGCACCCAGCCAGGCGCACGCAGCCCCCACCCCAAGGCCCTGGGTGGCCTCACCTCTGTGCCAGGGCACGAGGATTTGGAGCTGGGGGCTCCCAGGTGCCGGATCCCTCCTAAAACCTCTCCCCCACCCCTCCTCACCCCATTTTTTTTTGGGGAACCCCACCTTCGGGACCCGCAGCCGCCCCCAATCCTCAGGTTGGGTGCGGGCACGCGATCCTGCCCCAAAGCCAGGCGGGTTCCAGGAACACAACCAGCTCGTGGGCCATAAAACAACCGCCTGCGAGAAGCCAGGAAGACTCCCGGGGGCCTCGGAGGCAGCCCCGGGGTGGCCTCTGAGCAGTAAATGGCCCCGTTCTGCCCCGCCAGCCCTCCTTTCCCAGCACTCAGATCATTAAACATGCATGCGTTTCCGCCGCCGCTTTGAGAAAGTGATAAGTCAGATTTTTTTTTTTTTCTTTTTCTGGGGGAGAAAAGGGGGGCGGCAGGGAATAAAAAGCACCCCCAAGGCAAGGAAGGAGAGCAAAGCCCCGCGCCCGGCCCCCCGCCTGCCGCGATTTATGAATGAAAGCACGCTCTGCCTTGGCACCGCGAATTTCCTCGATGCACGCGGGCAAGGAGGGGGGGAAATCCTGGAATTATGAGGCTCCAGCACCAATTAGGGCTGTTTACATTGACGTAAAGTCTGGGTGAAGTCCCCACCCCTGCTCCGAGCATATTTGTGAAATTACTCCTGCTGACACTGACAAATGCAGAAGGGAAAGTCCCGGAGCGCTCGGATCCAGCCCGGCGCTGCGTGGGGATTTTCAAAGCAGCGCTGTGCCCCAGCACGGGGACAGCCAGCGCCTGGAGAATTCAGCCCAGGGACCCCCCAACCCTCACCCCAGCCATGGAAAAAGCCCCCAGGCCTCAAACCAACCTCCTCATTGTTTTTTTTTTAGGGATGCAGGGAATGGGCGGCATCTCCCCGGCTGCTCAGGTCTCCTGGAAGAGCGAGGAAAACTCTCAAAATCTGGGTATTTTCAAAATTTAAGTCAGTCCAGCAGTTTGGGGACCTCGCCACTGTCACCAGCTGGGGGTGTGGTGGTTGGGTGGCCCCACCACCCCTTTGGGTGCGCTCAGCATCTCGCCATGCCCCCAAAAAATAGGGATCCTTTGGGATGCTCAGCCCAGGCCCCTCTCTCCCTGCACCCCTGCATGGGGGCCTGGATGCGCCAAGCTCCACGGTGAGCAGAGAGTTTTTCTTCTCACAGAATAATGCACAGGGAGGGTGTTTGCACACAGGAGGTGGTTGCGAACGATTCCTCCTTCGATTCCTCCTCCAAATGAGGCGAAATCCCCAGGGAAGGAGAGCCAAGCGTGGCGGCAGGCGAGTCGATGCAAAGCTCTCCGCTCGCTGCGCACCACCGGGGAGGGGAGAAACCAAAAGGGAAATGAAGGCGAGGGGAGAGGAGGGCTGGGGCTGAGCAGAGCTGCAGAGCACAGGAGGGCGAGAGCAGGCAGGGAAAGAAGGAGAAACCCCTGGGGGTCCTGACCAAGGAACTGCAGGAGGATGAAATATTAGGGAGGGGGAGAGACCGCGCGGTGCGTTCCCAAAGGGGGAGCCCGCGGGGGCACAAGGACAGCAAATATTTCACTCTGGTTCCATCCCCTCAGCTCGGTGCTAACCTGGGGAACTCCTTGCTGCTGTACAGCATCAAGGATAGGAGCTCAGCAGGATTAAAAGCACGGACTGGGGCCTTTCCCTGAAACCAATACCCACCGGGCAGTTCCAGAAGCATTAGGAGCATCGGTGGGCACGTTTACCGTGATAAAAACATGGAAAAAAAAGGAAATCTCAGGCTGCAGAACCAAAATCACAACAAATAGAGGGTAAATTTTCCCTACTGGCACACTGATGCATAACTGCTGGAAAAAAAAAAGCAGATTTGCAGGATTCAGGAGGAATACCAGCAGCAGGGCAGGCTCCTCGCTGCAGCGCACGGGCGGTGCTGCGCGGCGCAGTGCCCAGGTGGCTGGGGACATGACGCCCCCAGCATCACGTTACAGCCGGCGCGGAGCTCTCGTTTGTTAACAGATTACGGGGCAGAAATTATTTACCGCGGGCTGCAAAACGACACGCTGCCCATCTGGCAAGGTCGCTCCCTTGCGCTCGGGCAGCGAGCCGCGCGCTGCTCCCCGCTGCCTCCAACCAGCGGCCCAGGGAAAGGGGGGACAACGGGAACCAGCCTCCCCTGCAAGGCTCTGAGGACGCAGCAAAAAGCAGAACTTTCAGAAGCTGAACTAAAAATGGAAAGTCCCCTTTCCTCTCCCCGGCGTTATTTTTACCTGCGGTCCCAGCTCAGGGACGGCGCTGCCGTTTCAAAGGCTGGAGCCTCAGCTCGAGCTTAAAAAGCAGGAAAAAGGCTCAGCAGTGCCTGCGAGCTGTCTGGGGGTGAAAACAGAGCAGGGATGAGTCACTTCAATGGCACCGGGAGATAATTCCCCGAGACAGGCCACGGGCACCCTCCCGGGGCTGCAGGAGCTGAGCGCAGCGCAGCTGCAGAGCCTTGCCGGAGGCTTTTGCTGCAGGAAAGCTCTGTGGTTTTACTTACCCCGGGTAAAATAACGCTGAGCTTTTGCAGCAGCAAAGCAAGCCTCTAGCAGGGAAAACAGCTCCATCCATCACCTTCCTCGGCGCATCCACCGAGGTGCCCTCCGGTGCACGCTCACGGCACACGAGCGCACCAGGAAACCTCTGCCATGGGGCAAAGATTTCCCCCCCTGGGGACAAAAAGGGACAGCGAGGGGGGCCTGGCAGCCAGGGGCTGGGATTTGGGGAGGCCGGGACGCTGACATCTGTCTGACAGGGCCCTGAGCCGGGGCGCCGGGTATTCCCAGAACAATAAAGCCATGGGGGGGAAAAAAAAAAAAAAATCCCAAACCCTTTTGTCTTGCAGGCAAGCGGCTGGAAGAGTTCCTGTTCCAGCGATTATATTAACGCTGCAGCGGCTCTGCTCTAATTATACGGGGGGGTGAGCTCAGCCCCTGCTTCACTCCTTTCCTTTTTCCCCTTTCGCCTCGAAGGGCGCAGCACCCCACAGCCACCGTGCTTTTGGGCTCACGTTTTGGGAGAAAAGGAGGATTTCTGCCTCTAAAAGGCCTGGGAAGTTCAGCTGCACAGGGGCTCGGCTGGCTCCGGGACACCCCAGCATCACCCCACACCCACACCTCGCCCAGGCACAAATCCCAGCACCCGCAGTGATGCCAGCTGCAGGCGCACACAGCCACATCCTGCCCCACCACGGCTCTCTTGTCCCCTGGGATTCACTTTGGCAGCTTTTTATCCCTGGGTTTAATGCTTTTCTCCCCCCTTCCCCACCCAGCAGGGCTCCACAGATCCCATTTTCCTCCCACCGAGCGCTCCCTAAGCGGGAACAGGGCTCAGCTCCGCGTATCCAGGCTCGGGGCAGGGGATGCTGGCTCCGCAGCACCGATCCTGCTCCAGCCCCCCCTGTGGAAACAGGAGCCGAGCCGCCCGCCCCAGCTCCTCTGCCAGCACCAGACAGGGACTCCTTGTTCTGCCGGGAGGTAAATCACCGCCTCTGCCCGCAGACACCCGGACCCTGCACATCGCGGCTTCAGCGCCTCCCTTGGCTCCAGCACCTCCCTCCCCAGCCCGCGTGTGCTGCTGCTGAGCCCCCCGCCGGCTCCAGGCAGACCCCCAGGGACACCAGCACGGAGCCAGGACACAAACAGCTCCCACCGAGCATCCTCGGGGCAACACTCCCACGAGATACCCATCCCCTTTGGGTACCTCCCCGGGGGTACGAGGGCGATTCGTGCCGCCCCCGGGACCCCTTTCCCCAACCCACAGCCCCCAGCCGTGGCCCCTTCCTCCACAGCCCGATCCCTGCTGGCTCCACGAAGAGCAGATGGCTGCAGGAGCAGCACAGACGGCACCAGCTCCATCCCCAAGCTCCCCACCCGAGGCATCGCTGCACCCCTGAGCAGCGCCGTGGGCACGGATGTGTTTTTTTCCCCCCTCCTTCTCCACCAGCACTGAGGGTTCTGCCTGCGTTTTCCCTACCTAGAGGGGGGTTTTCAGAGCTCTTTCCCTCCTCCCCTGCCCCGTGCCCCTGCTTTATGACCCGGGCTGGTTTTGTGAATGGGCTATTGTAACCGGACCGGGGAGAGGGAAGGGAGCAGATGGGAGCGCGCTCGCCCTGGGCGCAACAGCCCCGCGCGCGCTGAGCGATGCAGGCCAGGTGCTAAAGGCCAGCCTGGCTTGAAGGTTACCCCCCAGCCGAGAAACACAAGAGGCAGAAGACCTCGCAGAAGGGCAGAACCCATCCGTACAGCCCCATCCTTACAGCCCCTCGCCACCCCCAGCACCGAGGGGCTGCGCCGTGAGCAGCCCCCCTTCGGTTTGCGCCACAAGGGGCTGCTTGCGTCCATTCCGCTGGCTCCCCAGGAGCTGCACCCCCCCACACACACCCCGTGCTTTCTGCTTTCCAGGGCAGGAACAGCCCGAACCGCCCTCCTCGGGCAGCCGTTCAATTCCTCCTGCGCTTCACAGAAACCCTGAGCCCAAACACGGAGCCGTTCTGGCACCCGCTCCTCGCCGCCAGCGCCTCCGAGCCTGCCCTCACCCAGCCGCAGGGCACCGAACCCAGCAGGGAGCTGGGGAGGGATGGGGGGGGGGGGGAAAATGAGGGCAGCTACAGCTTTACACCCCCACAGGCAGATCCTGAAGCTGCAGTGGTGCAGGCACGAGGGGCTATCACCACCCCCGGCACCCCTGCAGCCTCCCCATTTTGGGGCAGGGGAGGTGCTGGGGGTCCGGCACGGCCCCCCCAGGACACACACACACATTCCAGCGGTTTTACCCTTTGGAGTCACAGCGGCTGGAGAATTCCAGCTATTCCGGCATCTTTATCTTTTTTGGCTACCATTACTCCTTCGGCCACGTTATAAATTAAAAGCCGCTTCGCTTCCAGCCCCCTCCGAGCCGCACCTTTTCACCTCCTCCCTCCCCATGCAGGCAGAGGGGGGGCTGCTCCAAGCCCTAAAAGGCTGTCACAGAGCCCCCCCCCTCTCCCCGTGCCGAGGGGTGCCAACAAAAGCTCCTTGCAGCAGGAGCTTGTCACCGCTGATGGATGGCGTGGCTGGAGCCAGCGCTGGGCTGCGGCCACCTGGATGGCACCGGCACGTGGCCAAGCTTGGGGACAACCCGGGGGTCCTGATCCACAAGGGAAAAGCCCCCCCCGGCTCGCAGCAGAGGGTCTGTGGGGACGCAGGTGTCACGGAGCCATGCCCAGCCCCGTGGTGGTGGTGACCCCATGGGTTGTGCTGGTGGCAGGTGTGATGACAGACAGGCAGCTGGGGTGGCTGAGCTCGGGGAAATAATTCTCTCCATCCTATGTGGCTTCCTCCAGAAGGTATCAGTGCTGCTCTTGATTAGAGAAAAGCTTCCCATATTACAGGCTTTTGGCTCCGGGGAGGAACAAGTTGGCCAATTGCAATTATTAAGACATTTAAAGTGCATTTAACCCAGGAGCCCTTATTTTCCCCTTTCAATGTAACCACTAATTCCTCCTAAATGGCCTGCTCCGCGCTCCCAACCAGACAAAGGATTTAATGTTTGACTGGAGAGCTTATGGCACGGGGCGCTGCGAGCGGCGGAGGGGAGCGAAACGCAAAGCTGGTGCAGCCCCCGGGGGGAAACCAGAAGGGGACAAGTCCTGGGGGGGCCAAGCAGCCATTTGGGACGTGCCCCAGTGAGCCACTGGGCTCCTGGATGGTGTCCCAGCGGCATGGGGCCACCCCAAATCACATTTGGGTGGGCAGCGAGCTGCTGGAGCCCAAGGAGCTCATCCCCTGGGGCACCAGCCCCTGCCATCACGGCTCGGGGGCTGCCCCAGGATGGCCCAGGAGCTTTGTTCTTCCTTCCTTCCATCCAGATCTGGGGTTTTATTTGCCTTTTTGCTTCGCTGCTCCTGGATCCCCCTCTGGCAAAAAGCCACCGCGGATGCTCAACCCAGGGCTGGAGGCGGTGGAATCGTAGCAGGGCCGAACCCGGGGCTTTCATCTGCAAAAACATCGCCGCTTCCCCACCAGGCGACCACCAAGGCCTCACCAAATGCTCCTGGTCCAAAGAAAATCACCACGAAGCAGCCCGGCCTCATCCTGCCCCAGGCGCATTTCCAGCCCCGGGTGGGTGCCAGCAGCACCCCACGGGCTGGGCTCGCTCCGAGCATCGCTGCCCCCATGCCCCAAAAGATTTATCACCTCCGAAAGGCTCCGAGCCCCCGGCGGGGTGCCCAGCTGCTGGGGCGCATTTCTTCGCACTTAATTCCTCCCAGAAAGAGGGGGGGGGGTCTCAGAGGAAGCCTCGCCAAGCCCCGGCTCGCCTCCGGGCTCCCATTCCCAGCTGAAGCCCGGCCCCGATGGGTAAAACAGATGTGGCAGCAGATGCAAAACTCATCGGCTCCTCGCAGGCGGGGAGGGAAGAGCAGCCAAAAAAAAAGAGCCGAGCGGGACGGGGCGAAGGGAAACCAGATTTTTGGCGCGGGGGTAGGCAGGAGGCGGCGGAGCCGTGGCGGAGGCAGAGCCGGTGCGAGCCCGGCTCGGGCTGTGCCGGATCCAGCCCCGCTCCCTGGGGTTTATTTCCCAAACAACAACAACAAATTGGTTGCAGATTCCAGGCCGGGTGGGGAAATAAAAAGAGAATCAAACCCAAATCCTTTGACTGCGGAGATTAAAGGGGATCAGAGGCCAAACACACAGTCAGCACCCAGCTCCTGCCGCTCACATGACGGGGGCTGCCTCGCACCCGGGCTGTGATTAAACAGCTGTGTTTTCTTTCAAGCACAATTTCCAGTTTGTTCAAACACCGTTTTGGTGGGGTATCACGGGATTTCGGATGAATAGGCTTTCAAAAAAATACAGTCCGCGGGGTGGCCCTGAATTTCTGACCGGGGAAGGGGGCAGGAAAAGGGGAAAAAAAAAAGAGGCAAGGGAATATCTGGAAGCGAGGATGTGCACAGAGGGTGCTGCTGCTCCCCAAAGTGCTCCTCGGTGGTGCCTCAGCAGGCTCAGGGTTAAGGCTCGGAGCAGCCCCTCTCTCAGGAGCCGAGCACATTTAATGGTTTAATATTAACCGGAGCATGACAGCCGGGTCGCAGCCCGAGCCGCCTCGCCTCCAGCAGGAGCGCACAGCCTCGCGCACGGCTCCAGCTCCCGGGGGAAAACCTGACCGCGAGCCCAGCCATCGTTTTGCGTGCTCCAAAATGCACGAGAAGGGGTGCCAGCACCCCCCTGGCACAGCCAGCACCCCCCCGTGCCCGCTCACACTCACACACGCGTGTGCACGGTGATGGAGAGCGCGCCCCCGCCCGCAGCAGGCTCGGCAGCCAGTCGATAGCTAATTTGAGGCTCAGCCTTTCAACCATTTCCCATTCAGCACAGAAAATGGATCAGGCTCCCCCGGCTGCGGGCAGATCGAAGGGACCCCCCCCCTGGGTTGGGGGGGGAGCAGGACAGCAGCCGCCAGCCCCCCCCTCGCCCTGCAGCACCGTGGCATTAATGGGAAGTCGATGCGATCGGTAACGACCGTGCTGGCTTTGACCTTCAGCAGGGCCAAAGCTCCGAGCTGGGGTGTTAAAAAAGCTCCAGCTTCAGGCTGCCGGCTGCTCCGGGAAGGTGATTGCGGAGAGGTTTGCAGCTGGAAATTTGGGGGGTTGGTTCAAAGCCAGGCTAAGTTTGGGGCTCCTTGGCACCCGTGCTGCTTCGGTCCCCAAATTAGAGCTGAGCTGGGTGTGACTGCGCCCACCTCGTGCTGCCCAGCCCTCACCAAGGCATCACGGACACAAATTGTGCCCCAAGCAGCTCAGTGCTCCTCACCTGAAGCCGTGCCCACGGTGCCAGAGGATGCACGATGAAGCACACGTTACCAGCGAGACCCTCAGCATCCAGGAGCAGAGCTGGGATGGGGCAGCTCCCCCGGCCATATAACCCATGCTGGGGTAACGGGGCCCACCTGGGGTGCTGCTGATGGGTGACGATGCCCACCTTGGACCCCAAAATGTAGGATAACAATGCCCACCTGGGATGCCATGGATAGGATCAAGCACAACCCTCCCCAACCCTCTCCAGCTCCCCACAGAGGACGAGGAGAGCCCCCGGCTCCTGGGGAAGGACCCCCGCACCCACTCACCCCCTAAGGGACCCCCAGAGCCCCCATTCGGCCCCAGACCTTGGGGCCAGGCGGTTGTAAAGGTCACTGTTGCCCTCTGGTGGCCCAGGGCTGGGGACAGCGGGGACAGCCCGGCTGCGACACCCGGAGCTGGGGCAGGGACCCCTCGGGGCACCCAGCGGGCAGGAGGGGAAGGGAGCGCAGCAGGGCCCCCCCCCTGCTGTTATTGGGGGGAAAAAAAGCAAAAAATGGGAAAAAAGGAGAGCGTGCAGCACGCAGGGAGGGTGGGGAGGGGGTGGCGTGGAGGACCCCATGGCAAGGGGATGGAAATCGGTGTCCCCGTGGTGTGCAGGGCGCATGCAGGGTGCTGGGTGTGCTCAGCACCCCCCTGCTCCCCAGCTCATCCCATCCCATGTGCTGCTTCCCGGAGCCTGCAGACCCTCAGCCAAGCCAAATCCTTTATGGGAAATAAAGGGGACAGCTCCTTTATGGGAAATAAATCAAATCCACCCCCCCCAAGGGGACGATAACCTCCCTCCTCTGCGCCCCTGGCAGCAGCTCTCCATCCCGACAGGTCCCTGTCTCAGCCAGCCCCTGCTCCGAGCTCAATATTTTCCCTCTCCCAAACAAATCGATGCCAAGCAGCGGCTCGGAGGCTGCAAAGCAAAAGGCAAAGTCCGCAGCTTGCTCGGCCCCGAGCTGTAATTGCAGGCGCAGCACACGCAGCCCCCCCCCTCTGCCCTAGGATTCGCCCGGCTCAGCCAGAAACCAGCAACCTGCAGCTCCCAGGCTGCAATTTTTGGCTGCTGGCCTGGAAATCTCCAAAACGCACATGGAGGAGGGATGCTGGGGTGGTGCTGTGGGGTCTGTGGGGTGGGGGAGCCGCTTGGGACCCTGGTTATGTGGCGGTGGCATCGGCTGCGGGGTGCTGGGGACAGGCAGAGCCGGCTGGGTTCCTGCATCCAGGCCCTACACCGTGCTCACAAAACCCCGTCAATAAGCATTAAGGAAGCATCCAGCTCGCTAGGGAAGGGAAAAAATCTGTAGGGTTAAGATAAAGACATGGCAGCAATGGCAGCAAACCCCCCTCCCCGAGGAGAGCCGGGCAGCCTGCTGCCCCGTTACCTCCCAGCAAGAGCTGGAGGTGGAGGGGAAAGATGCTGCGTGGCTGCAGAGCTTCGAGACACGTGCAAAAAAAAAAAAAAAGCCACAATTTCCTCGAAACTTTGCATCTGCTGGAGCTGTGGGGCTGCTCTGCTGGAGATGGATTGGATCCATACGTTGCGCCGTGCAGCTCGAGCCAAACTCACGCTGTGGGAGCCACGGGGCCTCAGCAGGATAAAGCCCGGAGCCCGAGAGGTTCCCAGGCAGCCGGAGCCGGGCTGCAGCCTCCTTCCTCCCCGAGGTCTTCCTCCCGTGTGCCTCCCATCCAGGGTTTCCATCCCGGACTGGAACCAGCAGTGCTTGGGAGCCCGGCCGCCTCTCAACAGCTTGGGGAAGCTCACGGAGAGGTTGGTGGCCAGCGTGGAGAGGTAAAAAGCTCGGTGCGCCCCGCTGCTGTCCCCATCCCGGGGCAGAAATGTCTGTGTGATGCCTGCCCGCATCCTTCAAGCTCATGGGAAGATGGATTTTGCTCGAGCTGGGGAAATATCTCTGCTTTTTGGCACTTTTTGGGGTGGAAAGGGAGGAAATCTCAGCTGTGGCAGCTTGTGGTACGCGGTAGCTGGAGCTGAGCGGGTCTTTGGGGTGCTCAGCTGGGAGATGAAGCTCTGGATCTGGTCCCAGCACGCTGCCTGGCCCTATTTGTGCCATCCTCCTTGGCACACATCCCCTTCCCTGGTAGATGGAGGTGGCCAAGCCCCTAACGTGACACTCACCAACCCAAAGCAGGGCTCCTGTGGCTGGGACCCAGCTCCCTGCAAAACTGGGAGGGCACCGGTGGGACTGGGACCCCCGAGCTGGGCACGGGGTGAGCCGAGCTTTGCTCCAGGAGGATCCAGAAGGAAAAAAAAAAAAATCGCTGCTCCTGGCTTTAGCTGAACGATTTCCTTCCCTTGGTGGTGGCTGCGGAGATGAGCCCCTGCCTGGAATTGCTTCCCCTGAATTAACATCCTTTTTTTTTTTTTTTCCATCAGTGCATTTGGCGAGACATTTCGGCTGCCCGCAGGCGGTTCAGAAAGCAGAGGAGAGGTGTGAAGGGGTGAGCTGCCCAACCCTCCGGAGTTCGATGGGTTTAAATAAACCCTGATTAGCCCTACCGGAGCTGCTTTCCCACGTGGAAGCATCACAGCACCAGGAGAGGCTACCCCAAGTTTTGGGGAGGTATTTCTGATTTACACCAGGGCCAAGGATCAGTCCTGGGCGTCCCCAGCAAGCAGCAGGATGCTCGGGGGTCACCTCCACGGGCATCTCCCTTGGGGAGGACGAGGAGAGAGCCCCCTCGGCCAGGCGCTGCCCCACGGAGGTCCCCAAACGAGGCAAATGGGAGCAGATCTGAGGCTTCCCCTCCCTCCTGCTCCCCGCGGGGCTCCGTGCCCCCTTGGCCCCAGAAGCTCCTCCCGAAGCCGAGCGGAGCCGTGCCTCGGGCAGGCTGAGCTCCCCGCAGGCAGCCTTTGCAAGCTGGTGCTTTTTAATCTGGCGGCGCACGGAGCGGGCAGCTCTCCAGCCCTCGGAGCTGTTTTGCATTTCGACTTTGTTGGCTTTTAGCTACTGCATCCAGGGCAGGGGCAGGAGCAAAGCTCCCCGACCCCACTGGCTCTGCCCCTGCGCCGTCACCTCCGAGCTTTGTGGGGTTTTTAGGGCTTTTGGGCCAGGATCTGAGCAGCACCGGGGTGCTGTGACTGGTGGTTGCGGTGCTCCAGCACCGTCCACCCCGCCGTGGTCCATTGCACAGCATTTTTGGGGTCAGATCGTGGTGCTGGAGGAAAAACACCCTTCCTGCAACGGCCCTGAGGCTGCTCCCACCTCTCCATCCCGTCCTGACGGGGAGGGAGCCACGTTCAGCCTCAGCGTTCCCATGCCTCCGAGCTGGGCTTGGTGGTGCCTTTCGGAGCTGCTCGCCCTTCCCCATCCCAGCCTTTGATCCGCCTCCAGCTCCCGGCTCTCCTCGGGGTTTTCTGCCCTGCTTTCTCTCGGCGGGGATTTCCCGGACCACCTGGGTGGAACATTTCTGCCTCCCTGCGTTCCCCCCACGCGGCTCCATCCCTGTGAGCACGCAGCAGCTCCTGCGCTCGGCCTCGCCTCTGCTCCAAACGGGTGGCTGAGCAGTCCAGCAGCACCTCCAACCTCATTAAATTCCCCTCCAGCCCAAAATCGGGAGGTTTTAGTGCTGGGGAGCCCAAAAACCAGCACGCCACGGGGTGCTGGTGGCACCCAGGTGGCAGACACGGGACACGTCACCTCCCCAGACCCATGGTGATGGGAGCTGCGTCCCACTCCCTGCTTGATCCCGCTGCAGCACCCCCTCCAGCACCAAAACCAGCCCCTGGCTGTCCCCATCCCGTGTCCCCACGTTGCCACACCACCTCCCCAGGAGCCAGCCCGCAGGATACGGCCCCCGCTCCCCCCTCCAGCGCGCGTGTCCAAGGAGAAGCAGGCCCCGGTGATTTCGCCCCCCCCTCCCTCTCCCCTTGCAGGCTGTTTTTCTCCCCCTCTCCTCCTTCCATCAAGCAGCAAATATGCTTTCAGAGCAATAAGACGGCTGTTCAGCCTTTGGAACAAATGTTCTCTGCCAGGCTTCGAGCACAGGGGCGGAGGGGGGACTCACACTGATTTAATGACAGTGATTTAAGCAATTTGATCCATTTTTATGGCGCATTTACAGTTAGGGGAAGAGGAAAAAAAAAAAGAAAAAAAAAAAAAAGAGGGAGAGAGAGAGAAAGGCAGGAGTGGAACGGAGGCAGGAAAGGTTAGGGAACGCACCCCAGCAGGCGCCCGCGGGGGGAGCGCGGTGCCGCAAGCTGTTCCCCGCGTGGCTCTGCCAAGGCGAGCCCTCGCCAGCCTCCTGCGCCCTGCTCCCAAACCTGGCTCGGGGCTGCGCCAGCTCCTGGGGCTGCAGCTCGCTGGGGACACATCCCAGCCCTCCGCCGGGGCCGTGCATCCCCGGGGGTGGGGGCGAGGAAGGGCTGATCCTGCTCCCCGCAGTGCGCACGGCTCCTGTGCGGGGTCGGGATGGGGCTGCACCCCCTGTATTAGGGGAGAGGGGCTCAACCCAAGACATTTAGGAGCTCCTGGCGTAGCCACCCCCCAGGATCACCCCACTTCTTCATGCTTTCAGAAATTGGGGCTGCAGATGAGCATTTGGGGTCACGCACGGAGCCCTGGGGTGCCATGGGGAGGTGCCGCCCCCCCAGGGACACCACCAGACCCCATTAATTTGGGGATGCAGCAGCTCAGACAGCCCTGGAGCAGGGGGATCGATGCCTTCAGCAGGCTCCGAGCTGGCCGTGGGGGCGCACACACTGCGCCTCGGGGAAGGGGGGGTTGATGGATTGCCCTGGCACCACCAGCAGCGGCTGGGCCAGAGATAAATGGAATAAACGCTGAGAGCAGCCAAGGGAGGAGGGAACCCGGCGAGATCAGCCCGAGGGGGGCCTTGGCTCGCCGCGTTGGCAGCACATCTGGGAAGGCTCGGATTTGGGGTGGGTTTGCAAAGGCAGAAAGAGGGAGAGCCGCTTCCAGCACCTGAACCCCACCGCAGAGCCAGCGCCAGGAAGCGGGGGCACGGGCGCACGGGAATCGGGGGCTCCCGTCTGATTTTCAGCCTGGTGCTGGGGCTGTACCCAAAACCCAACCCCGCTCCCAAATATCTGAGCTGCTCGTTGGGATTTAACAAGCGGGGGTTTCGGGGACCAGGCAGGACACGGGCTTTCCAGGCCATTTGGTGAGGCTGTGTCTAAATCGGTCTCCAAAACAAGTGCCCGTACGGATTTATCCACCCCCCTCCTCCTCGCCCAGCTATTTTGGAACCAGGAATGCAAACACCAAAGGAGCCCGGGGCACTGACACGGCCTCGGCATCGCACCCTGCCTTGTGCAGCTGCTCAGCCCGTGGCCTGGCCGGGGGCCCCCACGGCACCCAGCTCACCCCTCGCGGAGGTCTGGTGGTTTTTTTCCTGTTTGTTTGGGATTTATTGCCTATAAAATACCCTGGATGTACACGTCCTCAGAGCCCTGAGCAGCGCCTTGAGTCCCGCAGGTCTGTGCTGGGCTTTGAATCCACCTGAAAACGCCCAATTTTAAGGGATGCAACAGGAGTGGGTGGCACTGCTGCCTCCACCAACTCGGGGTCGCCAACCCAGCATGGGATTGGGGTCTCGTGCTCTTTAAGCGCCTCCAAAGAAGGAAGGAGAGAAAAAAAAAATCCCAGCAGCAAACAAAATAAATCTTCCTAGCCAAGCCAAAACAGAGAGAAAATAGCCAGGGACCTTGGAAGGGAAGCTGTTTATTATAGTCAGGGGATGCGCTGCCAATTTCGGCAGTTGGACGCTTTTCCTTTTTCAGCCCATAAATAGACGCCCCCTGCTCGGGGTGGGCCGGCTCCCTGGGCTTGGCGGCCGCTCAGGAAAACCGTCCCCGTGGGGGCACTGACCCACCCCGCTGTGGGACGGGGCAGGGATCACCCTAAAAGTGCCACCTGTCCCTAATGGGGTGCGAAAACGGGCAGCTCCTGATTTGCCACAGGTTCCCCAGGAAAGAGTTGGGGTTAGGGTTAGGATTAGGGTTGGGATTAGGGTTTAGGATGCTGGGTTTGGGGTGAGCATCAGGAGCTGCCCATGGGCCCTGCTCCGTGCCAGGGCCCCGCACGCTGGCCCAGGAGCCCCTCGGAGCCCCTCTGCGCACCCAGCAGCACAGCTCCTCCTTGGAAATGCTTTCCACAGGGTTTGGGGCTCAGCATTGGGGGCTCCTGCCGTGCACCCACCCGTGCGCCCCCCCAAAACACTCGGATGCCGCAGGAGGGGGCTCAGGGATCGGGGGGGAGGTTGCAGCCCCCCAGCTCCGCTCCTGGCCCCTGCGAGACCAGGTCACGGTGGCCTCGTGGCCACGTTCCCGGGATCCTGCTTCCTCGCTTTGCGGGGGAAAAAATGAAATTTTCAGTCAAATTCTCACCCCGGCGGCAGCGATCGCAGCTCAATCCCCGCCCGCTGCGTCCAGGCCTCTGCTCTGCACGGGAGAGGCGCGCGGCCGACAGCTCCCAATTACGAGGCGCACACACAGCTGCGGGAACAACCGGGCGCGTGGGGCTCCAGCCTGGAAAAAAACAAAACAAGAAACACGCTCGGAAACACGTGAGAAATGCCCCGCGGGGACCAGGCTGGAGCAGGACCAGCCGAGTCCCCTCTGGGTAAAATCATTTCGGAGAAAATAAAGTGAATGTAAGAGGGGGGTTCTGGGGAGAGCGCAAGGACAAACCCCAAAGGGCTCCAATCTGCACGGCAGCAGCACAGATTTAGGATCACAGGTGGCAGACAGACAGACAGACAGACGGATTTCCACAGCATGAATTTGCCCCGTTAACCTCACACCTGGAGGTGATGCCAAGAAATAAAACACGGCGCAGGGAGCTGGTGAGGGCTGCGGGGTGCGCGCACCCATCCCGGCTGGGGAGGACCCCGGTGCTGCCGGGATGCAGCAAACCCCATCCCCTGGGATTTCACCCAGCGGCAGCTCCGGGTGCCCCCCCGGCTCTGGAAGCCCCCCAGGGGGGACAGGGAGCAGGAGGAAATTCACCCAAACCTCGAAACCTCGGCTGCGGTCCCAGCGCCGAGGCCACCTGCGCGCCGTGCCGGGGGGACGCCCGGCAGCAGCTGCCTTGGCCCCGCTTCAAACACGGCGTGGCCAGGAACAGCTCGGAGATTCAGCCTGGAGATTCAAGCACTGCGTGGCCAGGAATATCTCAGAGTTCCAGCCCCGCTATTTTTAGGATGCTGAGCACCCCTTCCCCGAAACACAGGGCTCCAGGAAATAATTCGTCTTCCCTCGGTGACCTCGCGGCACCTCGGGGGGCTGCACCCTGCGGGTCCCAATCCGGCCACATTTTGGGCTAGGAGCTAAAGGGGGCACAGCCCCCAACACCCCCCCTGTGTCCTCTTGCCCCCACGTGGAGCCTCGGTGCCTTTTTTCCACCGCCAAGGGGACGAAATCCGAGCGAAATCTGCAGCCCTGCCGCCATCCAGGTCGGCGCCCGGTTTCAATTATCACCTGCTGGAGCAGCAGCTGCCGAGGGCCGGGGAGCTCAAAGGAAAGTCAACAAGGGCTTGTTGTTTCAGCTGCTCGGGGGCACGCTGCTCCTCGCCCCCCCTCTCAGCGCCCAGGGGGTGCTCAGCACCCGGGCAGGTAAAGGCTGCAAGGGGGAGAGGGGAGAAACCTGGCTGGCAACAAGGGGGGGGTGGAAAAAAAAATAAAAACAAAAAAAAACCACCAGCAACCCAGCCGCTGCACAGAGGTTATCCGGGGGACAGAGCAAATAATTGGCGAGGCGAACAATGCATTTTAATTAAACCTCTGCAGGAAACGAGGGGAGGGAATCGAGTTAATTGCACGGAGCGGGAGCAGGAGATTAAAAACGCTCGGCGCTCGGAAGATGGTGGCTCCCATCCGCCTTCGCTGAGCAAAAACAAGGCCACCTGGGGGGGGGGGATTGCTGGCAGGACCCCGGGGACAGTGGGGATGTACACGCAGAGCTGTGAGATGCCACAGAAAGAGCTGAGGGGTTCTGGAGGGGGTCCCCAGGGTTGGAGAGCTGTGGGGACCCCAGGGAACCCCGGGAAGGGTGTGGGGAGCCAGGACATGGGGCAGGTCCCGGGAGGTCCCCCTGGGTTGGGGCATTGCTTGCAGCAGAAGGGGATGGGGGACGTGTCCCACCACAGCCCCATCCCCATCCCATCCCCATCCCAGGATCCGTGCTGCTTCGTGCCCTCCACTCCCAGCCGAGGATCAGCCTTCAGCTTTTCCTGCCCTGCGCACTTCAGATTCCAGCCTCTTCCAGGAGAGGGAGAAAAGCATCCCAGGGCCTGGCTGCCACGGGAGGATGCTGGGGTCAGGCAGGAGCCCCAGACAAGCACCCCAATGGCCCCAAACATCCTCCCCGGGCAGGGGGCAGCAGCCCCTGCCCCAAAGCCTTCAGTGTGCACTGCGCTCTGCCCTCCATCCAGCCCCCCGTTAATGAGCCCCAGCACGAGAGGAGCAATCAGCCCCGCTGCTCGCCTGCTAGCAGCAATCTCCCCCCTTCCCTCCTCTGCAGAAATTTCCCAGGCTGTGGTTTTTTGCCTCTGATCCCACACAGCTTTATTCACCAGAGGAGTCCCACGGGGGGCACAGGAACAACTCCGAAATGAGCCCCACGCGGGTCCGTGGCGCTTCTTGCTCTCCGTGCGGCACAAAACCCAAAATAAACCCACCGGGTGGGGGGGCTCAAAGCCGAGCCTCACCATGAGCCGGACAAATTATAGCAATTAAAAAGAAGAAAGAGACACGTTGGCTTTCAGAGCCGCAAACCTCAGGATGAATTTGGCAGCAGGGGGGGGAAGGTTTCGCAGTCACGCGCGCGCGCTGCAAGAGCGAAGCGCGTCGCAGAACGCTTTCTGTCCTCGCTGGCACAAGCTGTCCCCGCAGGCTGCGGGTGCCACCAGAGCCAGCAGGAGGCTGGGACAGCCTGTCCCCGACGCAGCCGGGTGTGCCGCAGGGGGACACGTGCCGTGCCGTGCCCATAAAGCGGGGGCTTTTTGTGCCGGAGGATGAGCTGCGGGTGTTCCACCCCCCTGCGGGAAATGAGAGCTTTGGAGCAGCAAAGGGCAGGAGCTTCTGGTTTTCCCTGGCAGCTGCAAAGGGCCGGGCAGGAAAAGCCACGGCGCTCTGCTTAAATGCTCTGCTGCTGCTGCCTGAGCGAGCTTTCCAGCCGAGCGACCGCGAGAAAGCGGCCAGAAAAACACAGCACAAGCTTCAGCTGCGTGTCACGGGGGGAGCCGCACGATATTTGCGCTTGATGTCTGAGTCAGAGCCGGGAGGTGAAGCCCTTTATGGAACATCTCCGGGCTGTTTGGGCAATGAGCACAGCCTGGGAGATGTGCGGAGCAGGGCTCAGCATCCCCACGAAATGAAGGGGAGGCGGGGGCCAAGCCTCAGGGTGCAACCCAGGAGCACCCCCCCGGCTCTCCGTCCTCTCCATCAGCCACGAGGCCGCCCCAGCTGGGGGATTAACCGTGCCCCTGGGGTCAGGATGGTGCAGGCATCCCTGCAGAGCTGGGGACGGGGACATTTGGCAGCTCTGCTTGTACAAACACAACCCAGGGCCCCCCCGTGGCCGACACCTCCCTCCTGCTCATTTATCCAGCACGTCGAACATTTCGCCCTGCGCACTCGCACCAGGCACGTGGTGCTCAGGATCCTTTTATATCCTGTCACCGCCAGCAGGCAGGAAAAAAATAATAATAAAAAAAGAAAGAAACCAAAAAAAAAAAAGAACACGGTGTCATCTTGGGAAGCTCACTTCCCTGCTAGCACAGCTGAGCATCCTCGTCCTTGCCTGCGCCAGGATCCGGATCCTCTCGAGTTCCCTCGTGCCCTGCGGATCATAAAAGAAGAGCACAAACAGCCCCGTCAGCATGCTGGGGAGAGGCCAGCCCAGGAAAGCTGCACAATTTTGCCTCCCTTCGGTGAAGGAGAGGCTTTGCTGGCTGCCAGCCCCGTGGCCATCCCTTTTCTGCCTGTGCCACAGCCCTGGGTGTATCTGCAGGGCTCCTCGAGCACCCAGCCCTGGGCAGGAGGAGGACCGGGAGCTGTTTGCCTGTGTTTAGCCAAAGGAAGGAGAAAACATCCTGGTGTGGAGGTGACACGAGAGGGCCCAGCTCTCACCCAGCTCCCTGGGGCTTCTCTCTCATGGTCACAGCAGAAAATGCCCAGTTTCATTGGGGAGATGTAGAAAAAGCTGATAAAAATGCCCCTGGGGATCCTGGCTAGCAGCAGAGAGAGCAGAGCCCTGCCCTAGTTATAAGGGAAAAGCCACCTGGAGCTCTCCACCTGTGCTCCCAGCTGGGACGTGCCCTCAGGTTTTGGGGTTTGGAGAGAGCTTCCCAGAAAAAAAAAAAATCCCTCCCAGAGGGATGCTTTGGGCTGAGCCCAGGGACTGCTCACGGCTGATCTCAGCAGATTTTGGGAAGCCAGGGGAGATGGGCACGGTGAAAATGAGTTTGCCAAGGAGCTGCAGTGACCTTGCCCAGACACAGTGGGGTGGGAGAGAGGAGCGAGAGCCCCCCCCGAAGCAGGAGCTGCGATGCTTCCCAGCTGTGTCCCTGTGCTGCAGTAAAACGGGCAGGGGAGGGAGAAATAATAACAAAAAATAATAATATTATCATACACGACAATAAAAAGTCATCTGCCTCGACGGGAATCTTCCCGTTTCGGCTGCGAACCCTTCGAGGAGGATAAAATCAAATGCTTGAGTGGGGGGGTGCGTCCCTCGGAGCCTAAATCTGTGATGGGACACGAGTCTGCCACGGGTCCTTAGGCACTTCCCATGGGACGAGAGGCCCAAACTCATGGAGGTGCCTTCCTTGTAGGGCTCTACGAGGACCCCCAGCCTGGGGAAGCAAAGGGACCCCCCCGCGGCACAGCCACCGCAGGGTCCCTGCCTCTGGATGGGGCCCCCTTGGAGCCCCACCTGCTCTGCGCCCACCTCTGCGGCTTTCCCCCGTGTGAGAGCAGACGGGGACGTGCCCCCCAGGGATTTTTTGGGGTGCTGGGGGTGTTTCCACCCCTCTGCTTGCCCCCAGCACCCAGCACCGGGGCGCCCTGCGCGCTGCAGTTCCCCCCCGCAGACACTTGGTGGGGCTCCGAAACCGGGCACCCCGCAGCTGGGGGGGGGCAGCAGCATCCCCGAGACCCCTCGGAGCCAAAAGGGGGCTCCGTAAATCCCGGGGGGGGGCTATGGGAAGAAGGGGGTCCCCTCCCTCAGCTCCTGGGGCTGCGGCGCAAAGCCCGGCTGGAAGGGCTGCGAGGGGTGGGAAAAGGGGGATTGAAGAGCCATAAATCCAGCCAGCTTGGGGGTGCTTTTACAGCCACCCCCACCTCGAATCCCCTCTGTTACGAGGAGTTAAAACTCCCAGGCAGTGTTCTCATAGAAGGATTTTTAACTGCTTTAATAGGGATGCGATAAAGCTGTCACGGGCCACGCCACGGCCTCGGCTTTTCCAAGGAAAACCCCAAATAAAAGGCTGGAAAAGGGCAGCGTGGCCCTACAGAGACCCGAGGGGACGGGGGCTCCTAGCTCTGGCCGGAGGGTGCCCCAGCTCGTTAATCAAAGGGATCTTCTTTTTTTCCTTTTAATAAGATAATACAGAGTAATTGATTTTTAAATACAGCGAAATCAAACGCCCCGGGGCCCCAGCAGGATCCCAGCTCCTGCGCCAGATCAGCGGCGACTGGCAGAGATTGAGCGCGAGGGGGAGAAGGAAATAAAAATCCAATCTCCTCCGCGTGCCGAGCTGGCTGCAGGGCGAACGCTGACGGTGCCCGAAAAGGTGAGTCAGTTTTTCTCTATTAAAAAATGAGAAAATGACCTTTTGGGTCACCAAAAGGGAGAAGCTGAGCTGGGGAAGGCAGCCGGGATCTTGTGGGTGCGCATGAGGTGGGGAGAGGAGCCGGAGGATTAAAGCTCAGGGCTGAGCAAGGACAATTTGGGGCAATTTATCCCAGTTTCCCTCTCACCCCATTATTTTTCACACCATACCAGTTGGGATGGGTTTAAGGACGTCACCCCACTCCACCCCCAGCCTTGAAATGTCTTGGGTAAATCAATAAACCCAGAGCCTGCAGGCACCCAGGAGCGAGGGGGTCTCGACAGGTTTATGGTCTTGGGGGCGGGGGGGGGGGGGGGGGGAATATCTCATTTATTTATTTATTTATTAGAAAAATACACATGCAAATAATATATTTTTCACTGCTGAACTTTTTTTTACATCGGAAAAAAAAAAATAAACACAGCGGGACTGAGGGGAGACCCGAGTGGAGATGCACCCCCACCTCTCCTCTCCATCAGGCGCAAAGTGCAAACCCCGGGGCAGCGGTCACCCTACAAACACCCTTCTGGGGATCCCTGCCCAGGTCCTGGGGTTGGGGACGGCCAGAAAACCAGGGAAAGCAGCGCTGGGACTGATCCTGCCTCAGACCCAGCACGGAGCAGAGCCCAGCCCCATAATTACGGGTGCCAAAGCTCCAAACTCCCAGCAGGGAAAATCAAACCGCAGCCCCCTCGCTGCACCCCGGTGAGAGCAAGGAAATGCCACTGGAGACACAGAGCTACGGGGAAAAACCCTGCTCCTACGGGACACAGCACGGGGAAACTGCACCAACAACCCCTTGAAACCCATTCCCGTGGGACCCCAATGTTTGAGGGCAGTTTTGGGGTGAGCCCAAGCTCAGGATGCCCGGAGCGAAGCGGCGCTGTGGCCGCGTCCCCGAACTGCCCACAGCAGCCGTGCCAAGGAGGCGCTGGGCAGAACCTGCCGGGCTGCATACCAGGCAGCTGCAGTCAGCGGAGCAGAGCAGGAGACGTGTATGGACAGGGCTCTTTGGGGTGCGGCGATCCCAAAGGCTATTCCGGGTGTGATGGGGAAGGGAAAGGGTCAGGGGAGGCGCAGCCGGTGCGGGGCTGTTGGCTCAGCCCTCAAGGAAACACCACAAGCCCTCGGCTGCCCCGGTGCTGGAGGTCACAGCAGGGTGTGGGGTGAAGGGAAAAGCAAACACAGCAAAGCTGTGCGGAAAAACCCTACAGGGAACCCCCCAGCTGCTGCTTGTGCCCCCCAAACAGCCTGGCCCCGAGCACCGCTGCCCCCTCGCCCTGCGCTCGTGCCTGAGGCCATGGCTGGTGTCCTGTGGGTGGAGGCTGATGGTGTGGCACAAATGCTGGTTTCTCTCCGTGCACAGGGCCATATAGAGATTGTAGGGTGGTTTTCCCAAGAGAAAAGTTTCCCCACATCTCCCAGGGAACCTTACACAGCGAGGGAAGCCACCAGTGCCACCCCGCTGCGCAGCGCAGCGCGACCTCCTGCCCACCCCGAAGCAGCCCCTCCTGCCATGCCCCACACCCCAAATCCCTGGACAAAAAGCCCCTCAAGTGCCCGAAAACCCCTAATTCCTTTAACAGCCCCCTGGAACCAGGTGCTGCCAACCTGGTGCCTCGCTGCGGGGGGATGCAGGAGGCTCGCATCCTCCGGATTTTCCACTGTCCACACCAGCCTTGAGAAGGCATCGAGCAGCAAACGCATTCAGCAGCTCCTCACCCCACAACATTTTGCTCCAGACCCCGCTGCTACGAGCACTGAAGCCCCCAAGCAGCTTTTTGGAGGGGGCTGAGGACACAGCAATAAAGTCCCCGGGCACAGGGGGGCTGCAGCAGCTGCTTTCTTTTTCATCTTGCTTTCTCTCTTGTATTATTTTTTTTTTTTTTAGGTTTTGTCTGTTTGTTTCTCCCTTTGTCCGCTTGTTTTTACCCGACAAAAACCCCGCTTCTGGGGTCCGCCTGCTCCGAAAACAGACGCGGGAGGCTCCGGCGAGGGACGGGGGCTGTTTGGGCTCCTACTTCTACGGGCTGCCCACGGCGCAGCTCTAAGGGTTGGCGGGTGGTCATGCAGGTGGGGGGCAGCTCTGTGAGCGCGCGCGCGACCCCCGAGCAGCCCAGATTTATTCGGGGCCCCTTTTTCTCCCCAACTGCTCCGGCCGCCGTCTCGCTGCCGCTGTGCCGTGCCGGCCGGGCGGCTACTCGGTGGCCATCTGCTCGATGTGGTCGCTCAGCAGCTTGTATTGCTCTGGGGAGGAGAAGGAAAGAGGAGCTGGGGTGGTGCCGGAGCGTCCCAGCGAGGCCAGGGGGGTGTCCCCCCCCCTCCCCTAAATCCCACCCCTACCTTCGTCCAAGTTGCCGATCGTCGCCTGCTTCTTGAGGAAATCGCTGCAGAGCTTCTTGTTGAGGCCGAACGCCAGCATGTTGTGGATGAAGGTGCTGAGGAAGGGCGGAGATGCTCGGCGAGGGCAGGGCCAGGCTGCCCTCCCTCCCTCCCTCCCTCCATCCCTTCTTCCCTCCCCGCCACCCTCCTCTTCCTCCCCGGCTGCCAGATGATGATGCTCGGGCGCGCAACAACGCAAAGGGCAGGAGCAAAGGTCCCAGCAAGGAGCACCGAGGATGCTCTGCGCATTTCCCCACCACACGGGATGTCCCCAGGGGGGGGACAGTGTCCCACCACCCTTGGCAAGGACCCACGGTGCTGTCCCCGCGCCCCGCTCACCCCAGCTGCCCGAAGGTGATGTTCTCGTTGAAGCGCAGGCTGTCGTCCCGCTCCTCCTGCGTCATGTGGCACCACTTCTCCCTGCAAGGAACGAGCCCCTTTGGCACCACCGTCCCCCCCCAAATCCCCTGCATCCCCCTCTCCATGTCACCAAGGGCACGGGGACACCTCCGGGGCCGCTGGCTGCCGGAGCGCGCCCCGTGCTGGATGGGCTCAGGTGCGCACGCCTCCACCCGACCTGTTAATTTTGGGGCAAAAAAAGAGGTACCCGGGGACGAGGTCCTCTTCAGCTAGGAAATAGCACGGCCACTCCAGCACCGAGCTCGCGTCGCGCTTGTGGTGCCTTCATTTTGGGATGGGAAGGTGAGCATGGGGCCAAAATGCTGGAGCAGCCCCACCTGCAGCACCTCTCCCCCCAGTGCCGTGGGGTTTCCAGCTCCCAGAGCGCCCCAAAAAGCTGCTCCCCAAACCCCCCCACCCCTCTGCAGTGCTGCAGGAGGGTTTTTGTACCCCTCGTACCTGTCCCCATCCCATCCCCGCTCAGCAGCTGAAGCCAGGTCCCCAAATCACAGCACAGCCCCAAATCCTCGAGGGTGCCCCAGCTCTGCCGCGCCCCCCGGCAAACGCACCCGGAGCATCATCTCCTTAAAGAAAAGGGGGGTTTGAAAGGACGGGGGTCCCGCTGGGGGGGCTCTGGGGCAGAAAATCATGCTGAGCAGGGCAGCAGGGGCACCGCGGCGGGGCTCAGGCGGTGCCGGCACAGCGCAGGGCATGCGCCCTGGGGAAAGCCCAGCTCCAGGGGGAAGCCAGCCCCCCCCCCGAGACATCAGGTGAGGGGACAGGCAGGGAAAAGAGGAAAGGCAAGGAGAAACAGGGACAGAAGAAATATATAAATGTGGAGGAAGAGGAGAAGGAGGAGGAGGAGGAGGAGGAGAGCAGGAGCGGACCGAGCAGGAGCGCACGCCGAGCGGGACCGAGGTGCTGCCAGGTGGGAACGGCCCCTGGGAGAGGGATAGGGGAGATCAAGCAAAATTTTGTTGCTGAAACTGGAAAAGGTTGAAAAATTTGCCCAGAGGGAAGCCTGCCACCAAAGCCAGCCCAACCCCGGCCTCGGAAAGCTGCTGAGCCGAGCCTTTGGTCACAGCGGCTGAGCTGTGCATCGGGACTTTTGGGGATGTTTTAAAGGAATTTTTTTAAGTAGTTTCTCCGAGATAAAGCTAACAACAGCAAATAAAAAAATAAAAATAAATCAAATTCAGCTCTGGAGGCTGAAAAGAAAGCAGAAGAATCAGACTGAGGGGCTTTGAGATCTGGCAGAGAAACTTCACAGATCTCACTGGCCCGCTTGCAGAAGAAGCAGACCTGAAACTTTTTTTCCTGCCTTTTTATGTTTTGTTTTGTGTTTTTTTTTTTGTTTTTTTTTGTTTTTTTGCTGTGCTGGCCCAGGGAAGCCTCTCAGCCCCCTCAGGGGTTGCCCCCTGCCAGCTCCTGCCCAGGAGCCCCCCGGGATGTGCCCTGGGCTCGCACCCACCGGGCTGGCAGGGCTCAGCCTCGCTCGCCCCCAGCGGCACCGCGGCTCCCCAGGCTTCATCCAAGCAAATTCGGAGCCACCCAGCTCCTGCGCACGCCTTCGGCACGTGGCCAACCCCCTGCCCTCACCCTCCTGCTGCTGCCATGGCCCGGAGCCCTTCGCTTTGGGATCAGCCGCTGCAGGCACCCCGATCCCAGCACCCAGCGCCCGGCTCTGATCTGAGCTTTGCACCCCGGAGGCCGTGCTCCTGATGGCACCGCGCAGCCTCCTCTGCAGCGAGGGCAGATTTCCCCACACAGGGGGATGATTTTCCCCATTTCGTGCCCCAAACCTGCCCGGGACACAGCCCCCTTCCCGTGGCAGCTCCCCGGGGTCCCCAGCAGCAGCAGGGGGTCCCCGGCTGCGGTGGCACAGCTCGCATGGGGCCGGGTTTCTTCCCAAAAAGCAGCGTTCAGGAGAAAGCAGCCAGGCTGGGGAGGGGGTTTGGGGCGAAGGCAAAGCGAGGAAGAAATGCGGGCGGGCACGCACCTCTTCTCCTCTTCCTCCCCAGCGTCCCCTCTGGAGCAGAAGCAGAAACGGGGCCGAGAAAAGTCGCGTGTTACGGGTCATGCAAGAGAGACGGGCGCAGGGCAAAGGGGGAGAAGAAGAGACGGAGAGAGGGGGTTAGAGGCGGAGGGAGGGGAAAAAGAGAGAAAAAAAGGAGTTTAGTGCTGTCGCCTTCCCTCCCACCCCGGCCCCTGCCCTCCCTCCCCAGGGGAGAAGCCTCCTCCTGCAGGGCAGGACACGGTCACCAAGGCACCGCCGAGCGCCCCGTGGCCCCTTGCCGTGGCCAGACACCAAACCTGGCACCTCGAACCCAGCCTGCAGGGTGCCAGCCCCCTGGGGGCTCAACCCCCAGCCCCATTTCCCCACATGGCCTCGGTTCCCCTCTCCAGGGGGCTGCCACCACCTCTCAGCCCCCCCGAGGTGCTCGGAGCTCCCCAGGGAGCTCCCCCAAAGCTCCTTCCTTCACCAGGCTCAGCCCTGGGATTAATTGAGAAAGAAACATTTGCTGCTGCTAATTTGGGGCTTAATCGAAGCAAATGTGGTCCCGGCTGCTCGACAGCTTCTTTTTTTTTTTTTTTTTTTTTTTTTTTTTTCTGGTCGGTTTGGGGAAGGAAAGCAAAAAAAAAAGAGGAGAGAGATGGAGCCGGCCGAGCATCCCGAGGGGTTGTCGTGGTCGGGGCTGGGGGCAGGAGGGCTGGCTGCTCCCTGGGCTGCCTTCACTGCTCGGAAAGGGGCTGCCAAAACGCTGGGTGCTCCACGCCTGCCCCCTGCACGGCCCCCCCCGGGACACTGTGAGGACCAGGGCGTCCCCTCCCCTGGCTCAGGAGCTGCTGGCAGGACGAGCCGCAGCAGGCTGAACCCCTCCTGGGCTATCCAAGCCTTCCTTTGGGGAAAAAGGATGCAAAACGAGCTGGAAAACCTCCCCATCCCCATCCTTAGTTTTTTTTTGGGGGGGGAGGGTCCTACCTGGTGGTGGGGGAGCGCTTCCTGCGCTCAGCAGTGCACGGCGTCGAAGAAGGCGGCGTTCCAGAAGCGCAGGTTGTGCCTGCGGGGAGGGACGAGGCATCAGTGGGGCCACCCCACACCTCCCCCTAATTCCCCCCATCCATCCCATCCCATCCCATCCCATCCCATCCCATCCCATCCCATCCCATCCCATCCCATCCCCATCCCATCCCATCCCATCCCAAGGGCTGGGAGGTGATGAAACGAATCCGGCGAATTTGGCCCCGTTTTGGGGGAAAACCCCGCGCTGCCCATTCCCGCGGGCAAACGGGCAAAGGCAGGGCACGAGCCAGCTGGCCCCATTTTTACCAGATGGGCTGCTGCTTGAGGTGCATGTACAGGTAGATCTTCTCCCCTTTCTTCTCCTCCTCAGGGCTCTGCACGGAAACTGTGGGGACAGGCAGTCACACCGGGTGGCACCCACCGCCCCACCACGCCATAAAACCCCGCGTGTCCCCCCCTCGGTGCCCGATGGCACGGTTTGTGAGCCCTTGGATGCGTTTTGGGGGCAGGAGTTAGCTCTGATATGGTCCCAGAAGGGTGCTGGAGCACTTTGGAGCCCCTTTGGGGACACTCTGGGACAGACAGCTCCGTCCCCTGCCCACCCCACAGCTTCCAGCCCTCGCTCCGGGGGTGCTGTCACCGTCCCGCAGCTCTGCCTCCACTCACCCGTCTTCTTCAGCCTCTCCTTCGGCCTGTCCTCAGCCTCGCTGCGGCACAGAAACCAGCGTCAGCCCCCGAGAAAAGGAGCCAGAGGAGCAGAGCCCCGCACCCCGGCCACGCAGGAGACCCCAAAAGCGGTGCCACCACCCCCTGAACCCACCTACCCCCATCCCCGTGAGGACGCGGGGCTCCCAAACCACCAGGTGCCCAGTGTGCAGCGTAAAAACCCACGGCACCATGCCCCAAACCCCCTCCCCGTGGCCACTACAACCCCAACTTTGGGTGTCCCTCCACCTCCCCGGGCCCCCTGCCCTCCCCGGGGGTACCCACTGGCTTTTTCTGGCCGCGGGCCCCTTCAGCTTGGTCTCCAGGCCCCCGAAGAAGCCCTTGACGTTCTCCGTCCTGGCCGAGGTGTTTTTCAGCAGCCTCTCGGCGATGTCCTTCTTCTCGGCCAGCCAGCTGTTGGCCGACCTCAGGTAGGAGTCGATGCTGCCCGTGGGCTTCTCCTTGGCCTCCAGGGGCAACGCGTGGCTCTTCCCTGGGGGGGCAACACCACCAGGGGCTCAGCCTCCACCTCCAAAGAGGGGGCAGCAGGCTCGGCACCCGCACCCGAAGCACTTGGCACCCGTGGGTGCCCCTCACCGATGTAGAAGTAGGTGAAGCACATGGTCATCAGGTTCTTGGCGGGGCTGAAGTCGTCCATCTGGTGGCACCTGGAGCGGAGATTTGAGGAGGACACCCAGCGATGGCACCGGGTGGCTCTGATCTCGGGGAGGGGATGACAACGAAGCCGAAAATCCCCCCCGGGACTTACTCAAAGAGCACGAGGGCGAAAGACTGCATGAGGCGGTAGAAGGTCTGCTCCGACACGCACTTGGAGTTGCAGCGCTGCGGGCACAAGCGGGGTTGGGTTTGGCACAGGGCGGCTTCAGCCCCCCAAATCCCGGCGCAGGGAGGTGGGAAAGCTCAGACACCGCGGTGTGCACCTTGGCTTTGGTTTGTGTGGGAGCATTTATTCACTCTGCACTGAAAGTCCTCCCTTTCCCCGAGTCCCTGCCCTCCAAAAACACAGCTCCAGGGCCCCAACAGATCCCCCAGGACTCGGCTTTCTGCCCAAGCCCCCGGCACGCGCTGCTCCCCTGCCCCCTTACCTGGGCGCTGACGTATCTCGCGAACCATTCCCTGCCCTTCCCGTCCTCGCCGCTGCACAGCTCCCCAAACCTGGCCTTCTCCTCCTGGTCCAGATCCTCCCTGAAACGGGAAAAAGGGGAAATAAAAGCCATCAGAGCTGAGGGCATGCCCGGCACCCCCACACGGCAGGGTGATGGCTCAGCTCCCACCCAGCACCCTTTTGGCACCATCCCGACACAAGGGGCCGGCACGGGGCGCATCCTTTTTGCCATCCTCCCGCTCACGCTGCTCTTTTCTCCCCCCCAGGCAGGAGGCACGCCAAAAGGGAGGAGGGAGAAGAAAAAAACCACGACAGCCAGAGGAGAAGCTGAGCAGCAGAGACAGCCGCTCAGCCCCCGAGCTGAGCCAAGCGCCCCTGCTGCTCCGCACGCCCGCTGTGCGCCGAGCCGCGGCGAGGAGCCCCCGGGGGGGCTGTTCCCCTTCTCCCTCACCCCCCGGAGAAGATTTTCTCCACGTAGTGCCGCATGAAATCCCGGCGCTCGGCCTTCGCCTCGTCCCTGGCCGACTCGGTGCTCTGGCTGGAGGAGAAGGACTCGGCGGAGGACGAGCGGCGGCGGCCGCCCCAGCGCGTTGGCGAGCCGCCCGCCTCGTTGTCGCTGTCCGCGGACTCGGTGGCATCGCTCTCCTCCCCGGCCACGTCCCCCACGTGCCCGTTGCCGCTGGGGACATCCCCGGGAGAAGGCTCCGAGGGGGCACGGGCAGGGCATTTCGGTGTCGAAGTCGATGAGGTTCCCTACGGGCACGTCCAGGGGGGCCTCCATGGCTGTCTCAGGGGGGGGTGGTGATCAGGGGATCGGCTGGGTGCTCGTCCTCTTGTTCCTCACCGGGGTGTGGAGGCCATCGCTGATGGGGACGGGTTACCGCAGGGCATCTGAGGGACATGGGAAGGACCAGAGTGAGGGGATGACCCCAGAAACCACCACCGTGGAGGAGGGAGAGGAGCCCCCAGGTCCCCAGGGTGCCCAGCAGCAGCTGTAAGGGACAGGACAGGGGCACCCCGGGTGGCCAGAGGGGGCTGCTCCCCATCCCACAGAAATGGCAAAGCCCCCGTGGTGCTCACGTGCTCCCCGCACCCTTCAAGAGGGTTTTTCATCCTTTAGCCCAGAAAAGAGGCAACGTGAGCCTCTGGGACGTGACATCTCGCGGCTTGATGGGGGAAACTGGGCCGGCACAAGCCAGCAGGCAGCAAACACGCTCGTCATCACCCCCGGAGCCTCATCCCTGGAGAAGCACCCTCCTCTCCGCGGCCCCTTTGGGGCGAGGGGATGCTGGCCACAGCCTCTGCTACCAGCCCCCGGGGCCAGGAGAACCCAAATCCCTGCTCTCCAACCCTCCCTGATGTTGGCACCGGTGTCCCCGTGCCCCAGGACCCAGGAGGAGCTGCAAGGACACTGCTGCAGGCAGCAAACCAGCGGCAGCATCGTCCTCCCGGGGCAGCAGAGCGGGCAGGAGGCTGCGTTGCCAAAAAAAAACAGCTGGCCGCTTGCCTGCCTCATCCATCCACCCCCAGCCCGGCCTCCCGGGGCATCCGCAACGTCCTTTCTGCACGGATGGAGCCGAGACCTCCTCGAGAGGTCGTCCAGAGCCTTGTTTTGTCCCCAAAGAAGTCTCCTCCCGTCCTGCTTCTCCCAGCCCCCCAGAAGAGCTCCAGGAGCCCAAAGGTGCCCAAAGGCCGCCCCGTGCCCGCTGCGCAGCGCTGCCACTGCTCTGCGCAACGGATCTGGGAGGAAAACAGCCAAAATAGGGACCAAAACCCCAGCTCCCACCACCGCCACACACAGCCTGGGGCCTCACTCTCCTAAAAAGCCATTACTGCTTTGATTTGGGGAGCAAAAGGGATAAAAAGAGGCCTTGGGGCCGCTCAGGAGCATTTAATCTGCTCCGGCTGCAAGGGGCAGGGGAATTGGAAGGAGGTGCTTCCCTCAGGAATTATCCTGTTCCTGTTTTTTTATTATTATTATTATTAATTATCGCGTTCCTGGGGTCCCCCTGCTCCCAAAAGCTCAATGAGGGAGCTCGGGAAGCCGCTGGGGACCTCCTGCCCATCTGCACCCCGCACCGGGGGGAAGGGGAAAGACAGGAGGAAATTTTTTTGGCACTGCTCAGCCCTGGCACTTTTCCACGCTGCAGCCCATCGGGGACCTGCACCGGTCCCAAATACCCCCCGCAGCACACCCCAAGCCCAGCTGGAAGCCAAAATGGGGCATCCCAGGGGGGTGTCCTGCATTAGGGTGTCCCAAAACTGGGTGTCCCGGCTGGGCTGCGCAAAGACACCGTGGCCAAAAAGCTTCGCTCCTGGTGCTGTAAGGGAACGTCCTGTTTCCTCCTGGGAACTGGTCGGTCCTGCTCAGCCCCGCTCACCCCCCCGTGGCCCCAAGCAAACCACAAAATGCCCCAAATCCGGGGGGCCTCCTCCCAAAGTGGCCCCGGGGATATTTCCAGGCGCAGCCCCCTCCTCGCTGAAACAAACCTGGGACTCGCAGGAGCCCAAACTCCCCCGCCCCGAGCTCGGCTCCCCGTGCCGGCAGCAAGGACAGGGGCTGTGTTATCGGGGTTTAATCCTGCCGTGTCCTTGCCCCACTGGCTGGGCTCCTGCTCCTTGCCCAGCCCCTTTGCTGGGCTCCCTTTTTGCGCCTCGCTCCCCCAAACCCCCTCGCTCAGCCTGGGACCCCAAAATGCCCCAGGGACCCCAAAATCCCCGCTCGCCCCGCTGCCTCCGGGCACCAGGCGGCAGCTCCCCGGGGCTTTGATGCTTCGGGGGAGAATTAAATGTCTCCTGAGAAGCCCAGCCTTGCACCTAAGGCAGCATTTTGTGCCCAGCAGCGGCTCCAGCTCTAACTCATCACGGCACAGCTTTTACCCCATAAAAAGGGCACCCAGGACATCCCCCCCCTCATGCACACACACCCCAGGGAGCCCCAAAACGGAGCCATCCACCCCAAAACGGAGCCATCCACCTCACAACCCCCATTTCCAGCCCTTCACCCAGCATACGACGGGGGACCAGGATGGATTAAACCCTCGTCACATCACCCCACCGAGGCCTGTCCTCGCAGGGGGTCTCAGCAGAGCTGCCCCCACCCCAGCTCGTATCCCCCCCCCAAAAATAATCGCTTTACCTGCGCCCAGGAGCAGCGTCACATCGCCCGGGGCGAGCAGCATCGGCGTGGTGGGCACCTTGGGCACGATGCGGGGCCCGAGGGGCTCACGCATGCCCTGTCCCTGTCCCCATCCCTGTCCCCGTCCCCATTCTCTCCCCCCCCCGGCTGCCCACGCAGGCACGCACACAGCGCAGCGGCTGCTGCGGCGCCGGCTGGGAGGAAGAGGAAGGAAGCAAGGAAGGAAGGAAGGAGGGAAGGAAGAGCCCTTTGTGCAATTTCGCCACGGTTCACGGCTCCCCCACAGCCACCCCAGCCCCCTCCCCGTGCCCTGCGGTGGGCACCCTACAAACAGGACCCCCCCACGCTGCTCGCCCCCCCCCCAGCTTCTCCAGACACGCAGCTATCCAAAATATGGAGCGTATAAATATAAAATCCTCCCCATCAAGGAGGGATTTCCCAACCCTTTCCATCACCTTCCCAACCCTTTCCATCCCCTTCAGCTGTGTTTTGAGCGCCCCCCCTGTTTTTCAAGCCCCCCCCTGAGGGCTGCGAGCTGCCTAAATGCTAAATATAAAAATTGGAGGCAGGGGGAGAAAAGGAAAAGGGGAGAAACCGGGGGAAAAGCAGCTTGAGGTGGGATGAGGCTGGAGCCCTGTGGGGTTGGGGTCCCCCCCTGCCTGCCCCTGCCCACGCTCAGTGACCCAGCCCCGCTCCCCCCGACCCCTCCTGGCGTCTTCCCCGAGCACCGGGGGGGGGGAAAATCCCCGGTGAGGGGTGGGGGACAGGGAACGGGTGATGTGGGACCCGTGGGAGGGGGGTCCCTGGTGGGGCGTTACGTGGCCAGGTGGCAATTTTGGGGTGCTCACAGCACGGGGGGGTCTTCAATGCAAAGAGATGCAAAAAAAAAAACACAGAGGGGGGGGATTCCCACATCCTAAAACTTCTCAGCCCTCGCAGGGCGACCCCATCACCTGCCTGCAATGAATTAAAGCATCCCCTATTTTTGGGGGGCAGCAAAATAAGGATCAACCCCCCAGCGGAGACCACGGGGCCGGGACAAAATTCAGAGCACAGCAGCAAGCCGAGAGCATCGCTAATTAGCGGTCCGCTGAGGGCAATGATTATAATTAACTCTGCCTTCGGAAATTGCAGGCGGTGTGTAAAAACACGGCCCCATTTCCCTTCCCCGGCACATCCCAGCACGGCGAGGCTCCGGCAGCAGGAGGGAAAGGAGCGGAGAGGAGGGGAAGGACCTCTCCGTTTCGGGGAAGGGGCCCTTGGGCGAGCCCCGCTGCCACCCTCGAGGACATGGCACAAAGCGCAGGGGAAGGTGGCGACAGCTCCGGAAAGGAGCCGAGGTTTCGGGGCAGGATGTGATGCAAAATCCTGCTGCAAGGGAACAGTGGGGCCGGAGGAAGCGCGGGGAGGAGCGCAGCGAGCTGGCACCGACAGCATCCGTGCTGCCAGAGGGCTGCACAAAAAAACCCAAATCCAGCCCTGCACGCAAACACCACGGGGCCAGCGCTGACCCCAAGCTGTGAGCCGAGCCCCATAGAAGAGGGGCAGCCCCTGATCCGGGGCCGTGCCCATATCCAGCGGGATAGAAGCACGTGGCATGAAATTAGTGTGCGCGGAGAAAATCCCACAGCACTACGCGGCCGTCCGAGCCCCGCTTCCAGCTCACCTTCAAGATTTCATGGGTGAAGGGATTTGCTTCGGATTTGCAGGGCGAGGAGGCTGCCGGGTTCCTCGCACACGTCCATGCCCTTTCCCTCGGCACCCTCCCAGGGCCACGCAGCGCCGCGGCGGCTCCGTCCCCTCTGTCCCCAGCCCAGGAGGGGCTGTCACCACACAGCCCTGCAAACCCAGCCCCACAAAACCCAACAAACACCATAAAACGCCCCACAAGGTTGTGAGCTGGCTGCTAAACGCCCAAGCGAGCCATCCTGCCAGGCTGGCCCTCTGCAAATCCCTCCTAATCCAATCTCTGCTGGTGGCCGAGAGCCGGGCCCTGCCCTGCTGAACGCCCCTGTTTGCACAGCGCTTGGGAAATCCCTCTCGTTTCCTTATTCCTGGCTGAATCACCACCACCACGGAGCTTCCTGCTGCTCACACAGGGCTGGGGGAATGCAGGTGCCTCGGCGCGCTGCGCTCCGCTGCCGTGGGGATGGAAATCTGTGGCTGCAAGGGGCACGGCCACATCGCCACTTACCTCCACGTGGAACCAGCAGCGGGCTGTCAGAGATGCACCATCCTCACCTCACCGCTGCCTCCTTTACGCAGGAAAAAGCCCCCACGAGTCTCCTGGGGCCCTCTCAGCTCCCTGACCCCCTCGTGCACCACGTGCGTCGGGAGGGCTCAGCACCACGCCAGGCGCACACGAGGCAGGGCAGAGGACGTTGCGACCACCCCGCAGCCTCCCCATCACCCGCAGGGCACCCAAAATTCGTGCCACAGCAGGGGAGAGCAGCCAGAGCTGTTGGTAAAGCCCTGGCCACTTCCAACACGAATCGCAGGAGCACGGCGAGGAGCAAACCCAGGGGAGCCGCGGGAGCGCAGAGCGCAAAGGTCGCGGCGGCGAGAGCCAGCTCAGCTCCCCGAGCCGCGGCGTCACGGGGCTGGGCAGGAGGCAGGGAGGCTCCCCGGGAGCTGGCTGCAAAGCCCCGGGGTGTTTGGGCACGCCACGGGCACTTTGTGTCCCCCTGGACACCGCTGGCAGCCGCAGCACCGAGGGGAAGGTGACCGAGGTGGCTCAAAGCCGGCAGCGTGGTGGAGAGGGCTATGGACAGGCTATTTTTTTTTAATCACACTTTGATGTTTCCCAGCAAACAGAGCTCAGCTGTGCTCTGAGTGCAAGCGCCCACGAGTGTGGGGTCTCTGATGTGCCGTTTCTGCGAAAACGTGCTCGTTTTTCGTCTGCGTTTCCCATCTCAGAGGAGCTCAGGAGGCCCTGGCTTCAGCACAAGATGCAGCCAGTCCTCTGGTTTTGGATACAGAACAAAAAAAAAAAGCAAAACAGGAAATTGCTCCATCCGCAGGGAACTGCATCCCTAATTGTTCTGCATTAAGAGCTTCCATACTCATGAGCACTATAACCAAGAAGAGAGAGCAGCAATCAAATTAACTCCAGGAGCCAAGGAGGGCGGCTTCGCCTCCAGCTCCTGCAGCCCTCGGCGATGGGACAGGGACAGGGACAGGGACAGCAGCCACCTTTTGAGCCCCATATCCAGCTTTTGGGGGTGACTGATTCCTTCACATTCACCAAATTGATGCAAACCAACATCATTTTGCATGGTGCCCCCAGAGCCACCTCGGCGGTGCGCTCCTGAAGCCCTTTGGTGGGTCTCAGCCCTGTTCCAGTGCCAGCAGCCAGCAGCAGCGGGGCTGTTTGTGCAGAGCTCAGCCACACGGCGGGCAACAGCCCAGCAAGGAATTCATGAGCACAGCCTTTGGAGGCAACGACTGGTGCTGGAGCCATCTGCTAAAGCACAGGGAGAGCGCCTCCGGTGCCACAATCACCCTGGAGGGGGCACAGCAGGCTCCAAAGACGCCCTGCAGGCACCCAGGGCAGCTCCGTGTCACCCAAAACCCAGGGGGTGACCAAGTGACTGTCCCCGCACCCAGGAGGAAATCCCAAATGTCGTGATCCTTGCTGCAAAAGGAGGTGTTTGCAAGAAGGCAACGAGGTGGTGGCACAGGGGGGCAAACGCTGCAGGTGGTAGAGCGAGCGGTGAGGCGAGCAGATCCAAAACACTTTAATTATGCCCATTTTCATCATCCTGCACCCGCTCTCACCCTATAGGGCACAGGCTGGCACCCCGTGTTCCCTCCCAGCACAAGGTAGGATGGGTGAGACCCCAGGGCTGCTCCAGGGGGTTGCTTTTTACTTTTAATCCCTGCGTGATGGCAAAAAGCGATGCCCCGTGCACTCCAGCTCGCTCCTGGGGCAGACTGAAGCCATCCCATCCCAGGGACGGGTTTACAAGCATTTATGGCCACAGCGAGGAATTAAAGCTACGCTGTTAAAGCAGAAAACAATCCAGGTGAGCTGGTGATGAAGCCCCCACTGGTGCTTTTCCATCTCCACGGGTGCCAGCCCCGACGCAAGGCACCGTGCGCCATGGCCGGGAGCTCCCCAAAGGGCTGTGTGCCACCACCAGCACCCCTGCGCCCTGATAACGCCAGGAGCCAGCCCTGTGCCACCGAGGAGGTGACACCAGGAGCCAGCCCTGTGCCACCACCGAGGAGGTGCCACCACCAGGAACCATCCTTGTGCCACCGAGGAGGTGCCAACGCCGGGTGCCAGCCCTGTGCCACCAAGGAGGTGACCTCCAGCAGCTCCCAGGCACATCCCCGAGCCACTGCCCGCTTGGAGGGCACCACGAGCATTTCACCCTCTCTTTGCAGGTCCCTGGGCCGTGGCCAGACCCCACGGTGCTGCTTTCCCCCCCCCTCAACCCCAGAGGTGATGCCCCAGCACCCCCACGGCTCTGCTGCGGGTCCCTCATCGCCGTGCCGTGCCCCGGTCCTCATCTCCCACTGCAACACAAAGCGCTTCCAAACCATTTCAGGGGGGAGGAGAATAATAAAAAAAGCGGCCTTTATTTCTCCCTGACATTTAATAACCTTCATTGCCCGCTCAGCAGCAGTTTCCCACCCTGAGAGCCTGGTCGCAGGCTGCTCCGGCTCATTCCCAGCCTCGCCGCGAGCACCGAGCCCCTACAAAAAGGGGACGGGGCTGCAGCAGCCTCCGACCCGCTGCACAGGGCGAGGGGAGAGCCTGTGGATATTCACGGGAGGCAGGGGGAGGAATTAATGGTGCCGCAATTCCCACTGCCTCCATGGTTAGGAGAGGAAAACGCAGCCGAGCGTCCGCACTGTAGCGCACGACGCGATTTGGTGTAAGTTTAATGTCGTTCCGGAGGAGCTGCTGAGGGTCTGGTGCTGTCAGCAGCACTACAGGGCACTGGCAATAAAAGAAGGGGATCTACAGTTAGTTATGGAAAGGCAAAAAATAAAAAAATAAAAAATAAAAAAAATAAAAAACACCCTGCGAGTGGCCGAGGCCCCTGAACTCACAGCTGCTATCGCCCTGCTAATAAAACAGCTGAAATCAGCTTGGAATCTGGCTCCTTCAGCACAAGTGGCTTGGGGTGGGTGCCAGCCAGGTTTTCTCAGCGCCCACGCCCCGATTTTACACCTCTCACCTCGGCTGGTCCTGCACGGAGCCACCAGTGCTGCTGGGAGGGGTTTGGGGAGAGGGGTGGGGGGCTCCGGTCCCAGCTGGGATTGATCCTGCTGGCACCTCCCGGAGGTCTCCAGGTGCTGCAGAAATAAAGAAAAAAATATATATAAGAAAATAAATTAATAAATAATATTAAAAAAAAAAAAAAAAACAGGCCTGGCGGGCCCGTGCCAGATTACAGCAAAACTGCTGGGCGTTTTCTCCCCAGCTGGAACAAGGAAGAGATAAACAGGCTTGCTCCAGAGCGCAGGCAAACAACACCTGCTTATCAGCACGTCAGCAGCCTCAAGGCTACTGCAGGGCTTCAGGACAGGCTTTGTTCCCCTCCTCTCACCTTCGGGTGCTGTTTTCGGCCCCTCTATCGTCCCTTGCCCTTGCCCTGTCTTGGCGTTTGGAAGGTGGCCACAGTCCATGGAGCAGGGTCCTCCCCGGCTGCCGAACTGACAGCAAATTTTTGGTAAAACCCAAGATCGTTTTGGTTAAAGCTGCAGATTTGGTTACAGCTGCTGGCCCTGCGCACGTCTCCAGCTGGAGGAGCGGGGAAATTGGCAGCGGGCACTGAACCAGGAGGGCGAAATGCATCCATCAAAGGGCATCACAGAATCATGATCACTTCAGAGGTCAAAAGGGAGCTCTGAAATCCTCTCGTCCGACCCCATCATGGGCTGGGGAAAGCTGCGAGCAAGGGTTGGCCATGGCAGGGAGCTGCCGTGCCCCCGGTGCCAATTTGGGGCCGGGGAGGTGCCTTGGCATCCCTGGGGACCCTCGGAGGCACCCAAAGGGCACCTGCAAAAAGGCAGCGCGGGGTCTGCAGCGCCGTGGGGGTGCAGAGCTGGCTGATGGTGGCTCCTCTGTCCCCCAAGGACACGGGGACTCGGCTGGGGAAAGCCACAGCTGCTCTGGCCGGGTGCTGGCGACAGCCCCGTGCGGCGGGGTCCCGCTGCCGGCACATCTGTGACACCTCCCCAGGACGGGGGGCACCAGCTGCAGCCCCACTGTCCCCCCTCACGTCCCCTTCCCAGAGCTTGTCAGCTGCAGTGCCCAAACCCGAGCACTGAATGCACCAAAAAGGAGGTTTTTTTGGTCATTGCACCCCGCGGAACCGCGGGATCTGTAATTGAGGGTGGTGAAGCCGCTCGGCGTGCACCCCTGCAGAACGATCCCTGCGCCTTCCTTCCCTCATATGGGGGAGATTAGAGCCTGGCAGGCAAAGCCTGACCCTATAATTCCACCTCGGTGCCCCAGGGCGAGGCAGCAGATGCAAAAGGAGCTGGGGTTGCCCAGGGGCTCTGCACCAGCTCGCTGGGCACCCAGCAAAGCCCAAACCAGCCGGGTCCCCCTTCCAAGGACGCCCTCCCCGCTGTTCCTGGGTCAGCACGTCCCAGTCCCAGCCCCGCAGCACCAGGCTTTGTCCCAAGGCACGGCTGGAAACAGGCTGTGCCCTGGAGGCCTGGCTGTGCAATTAGAGAAAACAAAGCAGGAGCCGGAGCTGTACAACTGCACGGCACAGCCTCGCCGCCTGGCTCCGAGCTGGCTGCCTGCTCCCAGCCAATTTCCCCCCTCTCGCTGCTGTAGCTGCTTGTTTTGGAGAGGAAAAGGCTGAAAAGGCTCCCCCCGCTCGCTGATTGCCTCCAGCTGCCCTGGTGTCAGGAACCAAGCGGGGCGCGGGCCAATTTGGCACCTTCTCCCCCCCCCTCCCGGTGAACCAGCTCGATCCAAGATGTGGCCGTGGATGAAATAAACGCGTTAGGGAAGGGTCCCCGCGGGGCTGCATTTCCCATTTCCAGCACCTCAAGGCAGCGAGCGAGGTGCTCTGGAAGGAGCAGGAATCGTGGCCAAGATCTCTCCCTCCCAGAGGCGCAGAAAATTTAATTTCCACATTACTCATCCGAGCGAGTCGCAGCGCTCTTAAATCAAGTGGCTCGGGCGCAGCGATGGAGTGCATCGCTTGCCATCCGTCCCCTCCTCGTTTGTTTTTAATTAGCAGCTGCAGCCAGGGGCTGAGCCAGGCAGCGCCAGCCCTGCTGGTACAGCAGGAGATCACGGGGGCTCCTTCCCCCAGCAGGATTTGGGGACGGGGGGGGGGGCACCTGGTGGCCAAACCACCCCCTAATGTGCGGGGAGCCAGGGTGGGCTGAACGCACAGGAGCAGGTAATGAGGTCACTGGGAAAGGGGTGGCTCAGGTGTTAGGGGAACGAGGTGGGATCAGTGGGGTCACACCAGGCACCGTGGCTGCAGGGGGAACATCCTGGATTAATTCCCATCCCTGGAGGTGAGGGAGAGGGGGTGAGAAAAGGCAAAAAAGCCCTGTGGAGAAGCCAGCACTGAGAAAAACGCTGCAGAGAGGTGAGACATGAGGGCTGAGGTGACTTCAAATATAAATTTAGAGCACTTTACAACAAGATTTCCACTCCAGTCTCCCCCAGTTTGCACCAGGGACCACCCAGTACCACTACAACCAGCGGGCTGGAGAGCGGGACAGAGCACAGGGTGGTGGAGCAAGAAGCAGGCACGTCCCCTCCCTGCCTCGCTGGGGCTGCGGGGAAGGAAACACATCAGGCTGGCAGGAGAGCTGCTTATTAAATAATTTAGAGGGAGCTGATGCTGGCGGCAGCAGACTCCATCCACCTCCCTGACCTTCACTGCCTGTGCTCTGTTTGCCCTCACGCTGCGCTCCCGGGGATATCAGCAACTCATCGCCCCTCTCAAGCCTTCCCAGTGGTTTTGGGAGCCGTGAAAGCACCGTCCTCCTCCTCCCCGAGCTGTGGCCGGGCATCCTCCAGGCGTGGAAGCTGGGGGTCCCTGGGGGTCAAAGCATCCTGGGGATGTGCCGGGGGTCCCGAGTGCCAGAGGTGGCCGTGCGGTGGGGTGGCTGGAGCCAGGGGTGCTCGTGCCATGGGGTGCCAGACTCGGGATGCTCAGGTTTTGGGGGTGCTTGGGTCTTGGGATGCTGGGTTTTGGGATGCCAGGTACCAGGATGTGTTCCCAGAGGGTGTTCGTGTCCCAGGGGGTGCCAGATCCGGGGGTGCCAGGTTTGGGGGTGCCCTGGTTCGGGGGTGCCCGTTCCCAGCCACCCATTTCCAGGGGCGTTCATCTCCCAGGGTGCCAAATCTTGGGGTTTTGGGGTCCCAAAAGGGCCAGGTCCTGGAGGTGCTGAGTCCTAAGGTGCTGAGTCCAGGGTCCCCGCAGCACCGACCCGGTCTTAGGGCGTCCCCTGGTGGGCGCACAGCGCTGCGCCCCCCCCCCACCCGGCTCCTGCTGCGCCCCCAGCCCACGCGTGGAGCCCCCACGGAGCATGGGGGGGCTTTGGGGGGACAGAGGGGGGGGTCAGGCTGTGGTGTTCAGTGCCCGGCCCCAAGGGCAGCCCAATTACCCGGGTCTGGCACAGGAGTTAATTAGCGCACGCTGCGTCAGCGGGGACGGCGGCGCGCGAGGAAAAGGCTGACAGCTCCGAGGAGCCAAAGAAAGATCTCGTCTGGCTTTAATTAGCCGTGTAGAGCTTGCCACTAATTAACCTTTCGCGTTAGGATGAGGAGGGGGGAAAAAAAAATAAAATAAACACACAAACCCAAAGCCCTGCTGGGAAGCTGGGCGGGCAGAGCCGCCCCAAATTACTCATCCTCCTCCCGGCAGCAGGGTGCGAGGTGGAGAGCAGAGTTTGGGCAGCCGAATTTTCCCCATTTTGGTGCCTCTGCAGGCCTGCAGCCAGGAGAAAGCAGCCCTGGGAGCAAGGAGAAACGCGGGGCCGGTTCCTCCTCCTTTCCCCAAACCCTTTGTGGGGCCTCCAGCAGCCCCCGGGGGTCTGTCCCGAGGCAGGGCAGAGGGTGCCCCCCTCTCCCAGCAGGGAAAGGGCTGGGGGGGAGAAAATTCAAATCTTTATGAGCAACACAGGATAAAATTCTCTGTTCCAGCCGATTCCTGAAGGAGCAGGGAGGTCAGGGCTGGAGGTTTGGGCTCACACCGATGCTCCAGGTGAGCCTGCAGGGCACCTGGGCCAAATTTCTCTCTGCTCGCAGGGCAGGTGCTGCAGCGTGCACCCCCCAGCAGCCAACACACACACAAAAAGAGGCAGGCAGCTGGCAGCAGGGCAGCAGCATCGCGTGGAAGAGGAGCTTTGAAGCCTGCTGCTGCCCTCGCATCCTCTCCATGTGCCCTTCTGGCCCCGGTGTAAGGTCTCCAGCAGCAGGGCTCACGCAGGGAAGTGATTTTTGGCCATGCATTTGTCAGCGTGAAGGAGGGAGAGCCACCTTTCTGGGGTCTCCAACAATAAAGCTTTGTTTTTAGAAATGAGCCAAGTAGGAAAAACAAATCACCGTGAACAGCAGAGGCAGCCCCAGGAGGAGGAGGAGAAAGACGAGCTGCAAACACAGCGCCCACGCCAGCGTGGGACGTGGCTGTCACATCCATCGCCCTCCCAGGGAGGGGAAAATTTGCCCTCCCTCAGCCTATTTCCAGCTGGGGGCACTGCCCCTTGCCAGCTGAGGTGCTCAGCTTCACCCTGCTCAGCACCAAATGTCCAAACCTGCCTTGGAATGTTCAAACGCTGCCACTTCAGGATCTACGCTTGTGCTCCTCAAAGGCCAACATCTGGTGGGAGTTAGGGCATGTTTATTAGAAATGTTTTACTGTTTTCCTCTGCTGAGGCTTGAAAGGCTGCGGGGTCGCGTTTTGAACGCTTGATGTAAAGGATGGGGTCCAAAAAATGAAAGGGAAGAGGTCACAGGCACAGCTGACGGCACTCAAGGAGCCGCAGCCCAGCCCTCCTGCCTGGATTTAAGCAGTGGCATTGCGAGGGCAGAGCCAGATCCACATGAAAAGCCCACGTGTGAACTTCAAGAGCTGAGAGTTTGGTGCTCCCTTTCCAAAACTTGCTCTCAACAATTCTGCCAAGAAACTTACTGGCAGAGGCAAGCCGTGAGGCTGGAAGCACAACTCCCAGCTTCCGAAAAACGCTGCCAGCAGCACTGGGGCCACATGCACGGACCTGGGGGCTCCTCCAGACACAAGACCCACAGCGTGAGGGTGAACAACTCCCCAGCAAGTCCAAATTCTGCTTTTTCAGCATAATCACTGTTTTGGAAAAGGAGGGAGAAGCTGGGCACCACGTGCACCCCAGGACAGGAGCCGTGTGTGGTTGGTGTAGGGGTAAAAAGAGAAAAAGGACTAGGAAGGAGGTGGGATTCTGCAGCTGAGGTTTGTGCCCTCCGTGTGCTGGAGGTCAGGTTAAGCTGCTCACCAAATAAAAGAACAAGGGAGAAATTAACTCATCAGGAGACAGAAGACAGGGTGCTGCACAGCAGGGAGGCGCAACTCAGCCGAAACCTTTATTTGGAATAACAAAAAAAAAAAAGAAGCACACAAATGAGTTCACAAAACCTTTTTTTTTATTATTATTTGAAACTGGAAAAGGCTCCTGGGGTTATAATGGTTAGGTGTAAAAGTAACACACACGTTTTGCTCAGCTTTCTGATAGCTGGGATGAAGCAGGCCCAGCGTTGCAAAGTCCCGTCTGGCTTTCGTACAGCCCCGTTCCTCTCACACCCACAAACAACAAAAAAAAAGGGCAGGCAGAGCCCCAGCCCTCCGCTGGGGGAACAAGCAGGGCAGGCGAGCTATTTAAACTCCTCTTATCGTGTTCCACACAGAGGGCTGGGGCACGAAAGCGGAGGTGTTGGATGTCAAATGGCATTTGGGAAAGAAAAGCTCACCTTCTCCCCCTGCACCGCCCTCTGTGCGAGGCAGGGCTCTGCTCTTTCCTCCTCCTTTTTAATAAATAACAGCCACTTCGGAGAGACTTGTTTGCACGCTGAGCCTGCTGGAGGTGCCCAGATTAGTCCCTTGGTGTCACGTTGAAGCGCTGAGTGCAAATACACACCACCAGGGCACGCCTGCTCAGAGGAAGGAGCAGCATTAGTCCACGGAAAAAAAAAGTGCAGCTTGCTTTAATTGAGCTAACGAACGCAGCTGATCCGAGTGCTCTTCTCCTTGAAAAATCAAAAAGGCTGCAATCCAAGCGAAAACCGGAGTCCTACATTTTAATTCAGCACAGAAAAGGTCGGTGGCACTCACGTGGTGGTGGCTTATCTCCCCCTGCACAGCCTGACCACGCACCTCGACCACGTCCGTGTCCCAGCAGGGCATCCTCGGGCAGCTGAACGCAGCAGCAGCTTGCTGGCCACCCGAGCAAGCAGCCACGAGACAGTCCATACATCATCACCCCCTAAATTAGCAAGCTGAGGTTATACCACCCATTTCCACACAACACCCATCACTCCCATGAAGTCCCACTCATTTTTAATTAATAAAAAGCAATAAAAAGCCGTCCTTCTCTGAAAGCAAACACTGAGCTGCCTGCTTTTTTTTTTTTCTCCTATATTTTACACCTCCTAGCAAGCTTCCACATGGATTTGCTTTCTCCCCAGCACAAGTTTCCTACTTCATTGCCATCTCAGTGGCTGCCTGTGGAGGCTGGTAGCCAAAGCTGAAGTAATTCTGTCCATCCTCCTCCATCCAAACAAACACCTGGCGAGCCCGTGCAGACTGAAATAGGTCTCCTGCAACCACAGCGCTCGATCACGGCGTATTTATAGCTCTGAAATCAGCCCCAGCACAAACAAACTGGGTGGATCTTTGATGCTTCTGTTTCCCAGCTGGCCAAACCCCTCGTGTTTTGGCAACAGAGCACGCGCAGCTCGAGCACGTCAGCCACTTGCTTAATGCTCCTAAATTAGAATTAAGCCCTAGGTCCTGCTGTGGTTATTTGGGCAAGGCTGCTCTGCAACCTAATTGTAAAGGCTTTTCTTCCCAAATCCTTCCACCAAGAGGTTTCTTAACCCCGACAAGGTGAGTCCCACCTTCCCCAGCATCTGGAATCAAGATGTAAAGACAATTGTCTCCAAGTTTTTCTACAGAAGGGCACAGCAGCAGCAGAAATTGCTGCTAGAATTAATTGCTCGGCTGGCAGCATCCACCACGAACCTGGGCACACTGCTAATCCTGCCCATTTTAACAATTCACCTGCAGATGCCAAAATTTTGCTCCTCCTGCTCATTCCCCTCTCCCAGAGCTGAAGTCAGGACTCCCCGTGGCCTCATTCTGCTTTTCTGACACAAACAGATCCAAAGGACCCATCAGAGGCGCAGGAGCACACAATATTTATGCCAGTCTCTCCAGATTCACCATCCTGCCAGCTTTCCTCGCTCAAAGCGGAGAAAATCCGGCTCCTGAAATACCCCCCACAAAAGCCTGCAAGGCTTTGAGGAGTAGAAGAGGGGAAGGGAAGGGAACGGAGAAGCATTAATACCAAATTTGCTCTTTTCATCTGCCTTTGCTCTAGACAGAATAAAGCCAGCGTGTACTAGCAGCTCTGCCTCTAATCAGGGCTGGCACACTGACATTTTGAGGCCAGGCGGCGCACCACAAAGGTGCTCCTACAAAGGCAGAGCTGACGTCTGAGCGGCTCCCGCAGCACTCCCTGCCTCTGCAAAGCCTCCTCCCCGGGGCAGACAAGCAGGTCTGGCCTCCAGAAGGCAGATCCTGACCTCTGCCAGCAAACAGGTCCAGGAGTGACGAGCTGGAAGCAGAGCAGAGGCACAAGACGTGCAGAGAGCAGCCCGACAGGTCCTCCCCCTGCACAGACCTGAGCAAAGCACTCCTGCCATCTGCTGCCTGAGGGCTCGCACCCTCAGCAGGCTCCTGATAGATAGGAAAGGTGAGCTGCGACTTCACGAAGCTTTTGATGGCACGGCGGGGAATCACACCTACACCTCTGCACGCTCAGCAAACCCAACACAGCAAGTTCAGGGAGGAGAGCAACAAAAACGGCTGGACTTACAGGGCTGGGACTCGGGGCTCCGGCCAAGCGCCTGTAGCGCATCAGGACAGGCTGGGTTTTTAAGCTGAGAAAGCCAAAACCTTAATAATTAAGTCAGTCGTGTAAAATTTCATTTTCATCTTTATGTTTTTCAGGTGAGCGGGGATGTTGAAGGAAGGAGGAACCCACAAATCAGGACCATAGATAAAATAGCAATGGGAGCAGAGATGGTTTTAGGACAAGGGATTAAAACAGCTGCCCAAGGGACCTCTTTCATCACCTGAGGCTCTCTTAGGAGAGCCCAAAACAGCTTTCTCACTGGCTGCACCAGCCTGGCACCGAGCTCCAAGATAAATCAGCCACCCGGGTGCTAAACAGGCTCCTAATGTCTTCAGGTATCCCTGATTTGCATAACAAAGCTGGAAACTTGTGTCTGTGGCATTAAGCACGGGCTTTTCTCCCTTACACAGCTCATCAGCCAGAGCAAGGGGCTGAGGTGCCCCATTTCAGCTTCAGCTCACCTCTGCCCGTGTGCCAAGGCTCAGAACCGCCACCCTGCCTCTCCCTCCTGCAGCTCTCCTGGCCTCGCGTGGGGCTGGGCTGAGATCCAAGCCAACTCTTCCCTCTGCTGACACCACCAGGAACACCTCCAGCAGGCTGCACAGAACCAATTCCTCAGAGCTTGTTCACCAGAAGGGCAATAGCACTTCAGCTGCTCACCTGGAACGCAGAGGCAGGATTTCTGCTGCTGACGAGGCAGCAGGAAGCAAAGAAAAAAGCGCCCGAAATCACCTTCAGATTCTCAGAGGCTTGTGAAACCGTATCCAAAGAGACAGGAATTAATCCTGTGACTGACGTGACCTTCTGCTCAAAACCCCTGCTGGAGACTCGGCTCTCACACAGCTTGAAGGAACACTCGAGAGCCAGAAATGGCAAAAAGCCCTTGTGAGAGCGCGAATAAAGAGCTGCTCGCAGCCCACGGAGCCAGGCAGCGGCCGAAGCTTCTCCGTAAGAGGGGGCCCAAATCCTCACCTACAAGGCGTGTACAGACACATTTATAAACCCAAACCTGCAGAAGATGTAAAGACGGGGTTTTGTTAGACAAACTGATGCAGCTGGTATTAGGAAGAGACGGTGTAGTTCACCCCCACAGCCAGAGAAGAACTCCAAAGGATTTCTTTCTCCCACTTGCACCCACGACCTTCCTTCCAAGCTGCTCTCACACAAGGACCCCGTCACCTCTTCCTGCACAGGATTAACAACAGAACACACTGAGATGGTTTAAAGCACAACTCACAGCTTGCAGATGAGCACTAGCCAGGATTTTCCTACAGCACGCTGCTGCAAAGGCTGGTCTGTGGGGAACGTGGCTCCCTCGGCAGCAGCCCACAGCTCCCAGCAGAGCTCAGATCTGCCACGGAGAACGCGGGCATCGTGGAAAGAAATTAAGCCCAGGAGCTTTCTGTGCAAGGAGCAATCATCAGGGATGAAACGAGCACAACTAGCAAGGGAACAGAAGGGCCTTGTGAGCGGAGCAGCAGCACCAACCTGTCAGCACCGACCATAAGAAGCACCAGAACAAGCCACAGCGATGTACAAATTCCTCATCTTTCCTTCAGACTGTGCAAGGCAACCTGACACGAGAATGACACCTAGCTGGGGGCATGTCAGCACCAGTGACATTGGCACTTGCTGCTACCCACTGCAGGCGGGAGTCAAAAAGGCTGCATTCGGGCTCACTTCACTTTATTTTTTTTCCTCCTTTAGGTTTTCAGCCCCATTTTACAAGATCTAAGATGAGCTTTTCAGGTACAAAACCAGTTCTGAGTGCATCAGCTCCTGCAGCTTACACTCATTTCCAGTTGTGTACCTCCAAGAAACAAGAATCCTCTCCTCTGTGCTCAGGGAGACCCCCAGCTGCAGGGACAGCACGGCCACCAAGCTCCAGAAAAGCCAGGGCAACGCCACGTGCACTGCCAACCTCCTCGCTGCCACGCTGGGGGAATTTCTCAGAAGGAAACTACCCACTCTGATAACTCAGCCACGGATGCAGGTACACTAAAGCAGCCCCTGCTGATGACGCTGCACCTAGAGAAAGGTTCCCGGAGAGGAGGATGTGCTTTGTCACCACCGATGCAATCGCTCGTTAGGCAGCCAGCCAGCCTGCAGCAGGGGACCAGGCAGGTTGTCACGAGGGTAAAGCAGCTCTCCCAGCAGGACAGATTGGCCAGGAGCACAGCAAAGGCTTCAAAAAGTCCCCTCCCTGAAGGAAGGTTCGTTCATGGGAGACTGCTAATGGTCACAGCAGAGGGTTTGTGTCCATCCAGTCGATTAGATGTTCTCTGATCCACCCCTGACCGTGAGTTATTTTTGTTGCAGCACATTCTTTTTGCAGTAACAAAGCTCAATGTCCTCCTCTGCAGGATCCCTTCAGCTATACAAAGCTACGTTACAGACTGGGTACCAAGGACTGCTGGGGAGCAGTGTGGGGTGACAGGGAGGAAAGGGCAGTCACGGATATTTTAACAGGGATGTGTACATTTGGGGTAAAAAGGCTTTATTAAAAGTGCATGCTTTTTTTTTTTTTCAGAGGTACCGAGAACAAGGAATCCCCATCCCATCTTGGCTGGGGAGTGCAGCAGCCTTTGCAATCCCTAGCCCTGTCCATCACACATCACCCGTCAAGTAGCCAGCGACTGAATATTCCTCAGCATTTCATCAAAAGCCTCCCGGGAAGGCGCTTCGGCGTTCTGAAAGGAGACCTTGATCCGGCTGTAGAGACTGAAGGACTTCAGCTCCAGCCAGATGAATCCAAAGCGATCGTCGTCGAAGAGAACAAAAACACCCGGGGTTCGCTCGGGGCTGGTGAAGCCGTGGCCAGCAATAAGCCCCGTCCCATAAAAGCTGCAGGGAGAGAGGAACAGCAAAGAAGGGTTGACAACAGCCATGAATACCTAATACTTAATAAAAATAGTAATAAATAAATTAATAAAAACTAAGACGAAGCCATTGCCAAACGTGCTGACAGGTGCTACAGAGCAAGGAGTTTATAAAATCACCCATTCCTATCACACAGCACAAAAAACACTGCAGAACCATACAAAGAAAAGAAAACCCTGCATTGCTATGTACATTCATCTGTGCCTTCTTGAGGCTTTTGCCTTCTGATCAGCACCTGCACCCCAAGAATTATTTTTTCTGTAGTTCAGCCCAGTATTCCAGCTGAGATTTACTTCTGGGACTCAAAATTCAACCTAGGCCCAGAGAATCCTCACAGAAAAGGAAACTCATGTGGAGAGGGTGACCAGAGAGGCAAGCCTTGTGACAAACCCAGGGGAAGGGAGAGAAAGAAAATCTAAAAAAAGAAAAATCTACCAGGAGCTGGCGAGGAGTAAAGGTCAGTCTAACCTCCAAGCAAGCAGCAGGTGGAGCTGGGTTTTATTCAAACACAGCTTGGTTGTGACAGCAGGGGCCTGCTGGGATTAACCAGCTCTTGGTAGGCTTTTCCACCAGCACAGATGTTTGGCTGAAGGTCACCTGCCTGAGCCTCAGCTTTCGGGCTCTTTTTCCACACTTCATTTAGTGTGCTGCTTCCTTGACTCCAGGTCTCACTCCTCGAGGCTCTCTGAGTACTTGCACCAACTGCTTGCGGTGCTCAGCACCTTCCAGAGCCGGCAGCAGACGCCAGGGAGGGGTGGGAGAGAGCACCGTGTTCCCACAGCCAAGGAACACAAATGATACGCAGGAACAGGAAGCAGCTCCAACAGATCTCCAAACATATGAGCCAGGCGGCTCTTGGAGGAAAACAAAAAAGGCAAAATACGGGAGAGGAGCTATTTTGAGAAGTTAACAGGATAACGATCTACCAAGGAAGCGGAACTGGAGATGAGAGCACGATAAGAAAGGATCAAACAAGAGCATAGGAGATAAGACAGCAGAGGAGGAAAGCCTGAGCATGACAGGCTGGGAGATCTGCGTGCAGGTAAAGCACAAACAAATACAGCACGTGCCTCAAAGGTCGCTCTTTCCGTTTCAAAAAGTAACTGGCACAAGTAGGCTATGTTATATATATTACCAAACTCGGCAGGTCCGGGGATAGTCTTCATTCCTTGATATGACTCCCATAGGCAGCACAAAAGGCTGGGAAGCTGACGCCTTGTCCTGGGCTGCCCCCTCGGCCCCAGCTGCAGTCTCTTCTCCCTCAGCACCTTCTCCTCCTCCCTGGGGCTGAGCAGCGGGCTGGGAGGCAGCCTGCTGGGAGCGGTCCTCTCCCTCCTGCCGCTGCTCCTCCTCCTGCTCCTCGCGCCGCACCTGCTCCTGGACCTCAAGGACGATGCGGGAGAGCTCGCTGAAATCGCGGAGGTTCTCAATGTCAGGGAGCCGCAGAGGGTGCGCCAGGTCGATCTCCACGGTCTGCTGCCCAGCTGGGATGTTGGGATCTCCCTGGAGAAAGGGAGCAGCAGGATGGTTGCAGCCTTACCCTATTCCACAACCAGCCACATCGGCAACAAAAGGCATCAGGCTTCGTTCATTGTTCCCTGAACTGTCTGCATCTCCCAGAAACAGAATTTTACATCACATGCTACAAGTCTGGCTGTACTTGCAAGGATGAAAAAGTCAAAGCAGCATCTGCATTTTGTCACAAATCCCCTCTATAGAGAGGAAGGAGCTCACTAGCCTGGCTGGCTTCAGTGAAGAGCATCTAACATTTGGTACCTGCTCCTCAGATGCACAAGTGATCTCCAGCGACCTGCTACCAGCTGCTCTCAGAAAGCAGCTGGTAGGGACAGAACAGGGAGAGAGAGCCAGGTAGCAGCATGAAAAACTTTGCAGAGTTCATTCTTGCTATGCTGCACGTGTTCAGATTCACCGGTGCCACCAACCCCCATGAGGAACAGGTTTTGGGGTGGCAACACCTGATTACCTTCCAGAGACCTCTCTCCTGTGGATCCTGGCATCAATAAAACAACCTTTTAGTCAGCAGCTGAGCAAAAGGAAAATGTACTCACGGTGATTTTAGTCCCCTTGGCTTTCCTTCCATGAAAGCTCAACATGACAATCTCCAGCCCATGGCTCCCGTACGTCCCCTTGAAGAGACCCGGCTTTATAAGGTCATCAGGGCTGCTAGGAGGGAGGTAGATGCGTCGGTACGTCAAGCAGTTGCTGTGGAAAAAGAAAAAAAGAAAAGGTCAGGGAGGTTAAAGGAGCACCCCTGGAAACGAAGAATGTGTTTGCAGTCTGCTCATCTATGCAGCTTTGGGTCGTCACTGAGTCAGAGGTGGGATCTGTGTTCTCAGCACTGCCAACGAGCTTCACAGATTTCACTCAGATGTATGCAAACACACCAACCCTCCACTTCCCTCTATCAGCGCTTGTTAGCACACCAGGATGCTTCTGCAGCAAGGTCATGGCAAACCTCCCCACTCCCTGGCATTTCTGGAAAAGCTCGAGTGAAGCATATTTAAATATGTGCTGCAGTGAGGTGGCTGCTATTAGAAGTTTGGCGTGACAGGTTAAAGATAAAACAAGTTCTCAGGGACTGTGCAATTTCTGTCTAGTGCACTACCAAGCATACTGTTTACTAACATGGAAAATAAGCAAAAAGCCCCTTGGGATCACAGATATTTTCGCTGTCTTCAAATTAAGCACTGTTAGATGGCTCAAAACCATCTTACTGCACATAGCTATTTTAAAGAACTCGGAACTTTATTATTATTGCTTTCATTACATCTCATCTCTCCGAAAATAGGGGACTGTGCTTCACTGTATCTCTGCACAGAGCCTGCAGACACAGAAACTACACAGGGATGTTCCTTTGGCTGTTAAACGTCACTGCAAGCACCCCATTTTCAGAAGAAGTGATCTAGTGTGGTCTCGCAGTCGCAGCAGCCTTAATCCCTAAAAAAAGCTGGTGCCCTTACTCATATTGGCTGGTGTAGATGAACTTCATCAAGATGAGCTCCTGCATGTGTTCGTGGAAGATGTCTTCCAGAGTCCGACCCCATTCTTCCCGTAGCCACGTCCGGAATTCCTGCAGGAAGACAGAGGTGTTGGATTTGAAAGAGGGGCAGTACCCCAGCGTGACCTCACCACAGCAGCACAACTCATGAGGTGAGCCACAGAGAGAGCACGTGCTCTGACAGCAGATTGTGCCCAGATTTGGGAACAAAATGCTCAACACAGCCATTAGGGTAACTGCCCTACACCTGCAAGGCCCTACACAATAAAGATATGCTTCCCTTCAAATAAATCTCAGGTAGAGCCAGTGTGTGTCCTCAGAATAAAAGCATAAGCATCGTCTGTTACTGCGAAGCAGCTGATCTACTGTTTGTGTCCTGACCTACCTTGCAGAAACCCGTTTGTGTGCCCAGAAGCCCACTCCCCTGCTCTGTCCTGGCACGTTGAATATAAAAGGGGCAGCTTTTGAAAGGCACTGAAGATTTAGGAGGTTAAATCCTGCTGATATAATAACAATGCATCTAAATCCAAAGGGTCCTTTGAAAAAGTCTCCCAAAGTACCTCCGCACCAGCTCTGACAAGTTAATACCCTAACATGAGTTAGCATGATAACAGCTTACGCTAAGATAGCAGCCTGCCGAGTGATATCCCGAACCTGCTTTATCTTCTAAAGCCAGATCCTCCAATTACCATAATGCCACACATACTTAACGCAGCGCTTTGGAAGTATTAACGCATTTCTCATCTGCTACAGAACCAGCAAACACTGAACTAAACCTTCCACCCAGCTGCTTCCTGCTAGTAGGCAGACACCTCACAGCACATCTTCGGAGGAACTGACGTGTCATGTTTAGCTAGCTGGGCTCCTGGCAGAAAATTCTGCTACCTGGAAGATTTTATTAGCTGACAGTTTCCGTCCTGACACCCCGCCATGCACTGAGGTAAGGCAAGGGTCTCCATCCGGGCATTCTGCAGGTGTAACGATGAACTGATCTCACAGACTGTGACCTTAAACTGCCCCTTAGCACAAACAGAAGGGGCTCCCCAAGACCCTGCAATTCTTTAAATGTGGCAGATTTAAGTTTTGATTCAAGTCACAAACAATTCTACTCAAACAAAAAAGCTCAGAGTAAATCAGCCTCAGGCTATGAGCCTGGGTTTTCCAATGTGTTCAGATAAACAGAAATTGGAACCCTGAGGACCATCTCTCAGATCCCAATATTAGCTAAGAGCTCAGATAAGGCAGCAGTGCTTTATCTTCACAGAGGAGGCATACAAGCAGCCTTAAGCCAGACTCTTAGCAAAGCACTCTTACCTCTTGCCTTCCCCCTGACATCCGATGGTGATCTGTCTGGTTGCATTTTGTGGAGAACTCATCCTTCTTTACAATCTGTAGTTAGCATGGAGGAGAATTTAGAAGGTTACAGACCTGATTAGAGATGCCTAGGGATGATGTAGCTAAGACTGCTTAGAGTACATGCTTTACAAAACAGGTGTTACTGACTCTGGCACAGGAGAGATACCATTAAGTGATATCGAGTGCATCAGCTACAGGATAGAGAAATAAAAGCAATAAAACCCCAGCGCATTCTAATGAAATTCCTTAGTTTCAAGTTGCTTCTCTATTTGAGCTTTCTATTTTAAGGAAGAGGAAACAACCCCTCAGGAAGCTTTTCAAAGCATTCACTGTGCTGAACGGATGATGCCAAGTCGCCTTCCCACAGTCTCATCTTAGTGCTGCAAAACCAACCAGGTCTGCATCCCTGCTTGGACACGTTCAGCAGCTACACAAAGCCTCTTTGTGTATCCTTTATCTCAGCAAGAACATTTATCAATGCCCCCACCCAGCTCCAGTCTTACAGCAGAAAGCACAACAGCCTTAATGGACAGTGAACAAACTCAGAACAGGGAACAGCCCATACAACTTGGAAGACACGATGAGGATAAAGCTGGAACCCACACATAAAACAAGGTGGTGAAGGCCACATCCTTTTAAAAACATGTATTTTATATTGAATCTACTTCTAGATCCAAGGTGTGTGTACACACGTTGCCCCTAGGACACACGAGGTGTAAAATGCTAGAAAAGCTCACCTGGATATGACCATTGTGAGGCCCCTTGTGACCATACATACACTCAACGGTCGCGCATTTCCTCTCCATGAGATGAATCCTGAAGAGAGGTTTGAATCTCATCGGATCATCCACATGAGGGTCATGAGGTGGCAAGTACATCCACCCGATGATGAACAGGCCATCTACCTGCAGAGGGACATAAAACAAGTCACACCACGTCAGCATTGCCCACGTTCTGTGACATTTGCAGCAAACAAGTCCGGGGTCTATTCTTCAATCAGGGCAGGAGCTGCAGAACAGCTTGCTGCATTTCCAAACTGCTTTCCAGCAATTAAACCAGACCATATGCACTCGCAGCACACCCTCGGTGAAGAGGGAGAGGGTTTCTTTACGAGGCTTTCTGCACCACCGGAAAATGATCAGGCTTTTATTACCGCAAAGGACTTTGTGACGGATGCTTGGAGCGCAGGATCCGGAGAGGGAGACTGCACTGAAGAGACCACACAGCAAGTCAAGCTCTAATTGGTTTGAGAGCTCATGCTGGCAGATACTCACATGGAGTTCTGCTTCTCATGATTATCTGTGCCTTTTGGACGAGGAATTATTTGGCTCCGTTACTCACAGACAGCAGCAGGAAGCAACAATCCCCTCTGCTGAGAGGTACAAGTGCCAGCCCTCTTCCTGCATGCCTAACAGAATCCTTCCCCTCCAGCCCTACAATTTCAGAGAAAAAGATGTTTTCTAAAGAGCAAGACGTGAGACAAAAGCAGAGCAGTGCCACAGAGGCACGCTTGCCTTTATAAGGTCACAAAATCATGTAAGCATTGGTGCACTTGGCCACTCTTACACCAGCTCACAGAACTGACCCTTGCAAAACCCCACAGCTGCACTGGCCTTGTTATGTTACGGTTCAACCTGTCACCTACTGAGCCCCGGTGCAAAGTATAAGGGCTTCAGGCAAGCTTCTTGCCCAGCTCTCAACAATACAGAGAGAAACGTTGTTCATTAACTGCTCTCCCCAGCAGCACCAGAAGTGGCAGACTCCACAGGTCTTGCACCAGTATTGCTGCATCTGATGCATTAGGCTTAGGCACTGCTGGTTAAAAAAATGGAAAACCACAGGAACACAAGTGCAAAACCCTTTGCACAATGCTCAGCTGTAGGTGAAAGTGATGGGCTCAAGTCTCTGCTGTAGTCAAAGCAGAAGGAATGGCTTCCCATGCCAGCCTTTGGAATATCAGCATTAGACCAAATGAGGCCTTGCCCTGAAACATTCCTCCTGTTTTTGTTTGTTCCTGTGGCTGTCTGAGTGCAGCTGAAAAATAAAAGGACTGAATGCATAAAGGTGGTGATGATCAAAGGATCCGAGAAGCAACCTCTGGGAACACGTCATGAGCTTGAGTGGTGGCTGTTCAGGCTTCTTGCTACCACGCAGATGGCAAACAGGACTAGAGAGTGGCACACAAAAGGCTCCCAGTCCTCTACTCCCAAGCCCCAGACCGAGGTACTCACCACCACGTTCAGCAGTCCCCCATAGGGCCCGATGTCCGGCTGCCATAACCCCAAGATGTGGCGGTATCGGTGCAGCACTAGGGAACAGCGAGACACAGAAGTGAGCACATCGAGCTATGGAAATCGGGATTTAGGGAAAAGAAAGAAAAAGGCAGGCTACCACAAACCGCACACAACGCTGCCCAAATACCACCCAGCAGCCCTGACGAAGGAAGTGAAAGCTGGTTACACCCAGCCGCAGCGAGGAGCTTCTCAGCTGAGGCCTCCCACAAGTTCACACGGATTTGAGGTTCTCTGAAGCTCTGCCCCGCTGCAGGGGCAGGATTTCGTTTCCAGGACTTGACACAACCAGATACCTCAGCAGGAACAACCAGAAAGCTTTTGCAACACAGTCCTGTTGATGCAAATCACATGCCATACCCAGAGCTAAGAACAAAAAGTATCTGCCACCTCCAGCTACCAAAAACGTACTCGATGTCTCAGACTGCAAAACAACAGAAAATAAGGACACAAAGGCAGCAAGGGACGGGGAAATTCAAGTATTTTGAAAGAATTTCCCGTCCTTGCAGAGACAAACCTGTCTATAGTGTTGTGTCCTTAAAAGCAGCCAAAAATGAAGGTCAAATATGAAAGTTTTCAGTGAACAGGATCTATAGCCAGTTACAGAACTACCCTAACAAAAGCCTGGAGATGCTGCTTGCCTCCATGCCTAACAACCACAGCCATGAATTCTGTCCATATAACAACCAGCAGCCTCCATACGAGGATGATGCACAGCCTGGCATTTTGTGTGGGGACAGCAGGGTGCACATTATTTCTAAGAACACAGCAAGGAGACACCACACCGGCCTTACAATGCTGCTCATGGCCAACTCAGAAAGCCACAACAACCGCTTTTAACCTACAGAACAGGCTGAGCAGTGGGTTTTGTTTCACATCACTTTATAGGAAGAGCTGAGATTCAGTGCAGCCTTGTTCCTTTAACTACCCAGGACAGCAAGAACCGTGGGGATGTTTTTATTGCACCGAAGCAAAGGACTTCTACCGAGGTTTAGGACAGCAGGGAGGGCTGTCCGGAGCTGCTGCCAACTGGCCCGCAGGAAACTTTTTCCAGTGCAGTAAACAATTTAGGACCGATGGCCTGGTTTCACTCAGCAAGCCAACTGCAGCACAAACAGCACGGAGGCGAGCAGGCGAACCACATTCCCCATCTCCTGGTCTCGCTGCAGCAGTTACACATTAATAACTGGTATGTGTAAAAGCTGTTCCACCCGCCGCAATCTGCTTGCTCCACCCTGTCCATGGAGCTGATAAAACCCAGCTTTTTTTTTTTTTAATTTTTAGGGCAGAAAACTCGATGCTAAGCTATCCAAAGCAGGGAGTATTTCCCTCATTCTCCCCCAGCTCCTGCCTGAAGCCCCCTGGGAGCTGCAGCCAGCAGGCTCTGCAGGAGCAGGGAAGTGTTTGTCTGGCAAGGTGAGCCCTGTTTTTGTTCCCTCTGAGCAAACAGACGGCTCTAGGAGCTACAGCAGGTCTGGAACCGTGGCTGCTTCACGCACAGCCCAACTCACCAGCTGCCCCGGCACCTGCAAGCCTGGGGCTGTGGAGGAGGCTGGAAGAGCTGCGCAGCCTCCAGAGGAAAGAAGTTACTGGGCTGGCACTTAGCTAAAGGCCTGAACAAATGAAAAAGCAAAAGCCTGACTCCATTTTTCTGGCTGTTTTTTTTCCTGCTGTAGTGCCTCTGGGTTCCAGCTCTATCCACAGCAGGGACAACCCGTCGAGCTCCAGCTCTGGCACTCGGTGGCAGGAGATGGATGGATCTGACAGCTGCTTCCCTCCCCACTCCTCGAAAGAAAACAGCGCTTGGGTCTTTCTCCAAGGCTTTCCTCTGCTATGTGCACTTCCAATTCTTCTCAGTCCTGAAGGAGCCTCTCGCCTATCCAAATTTCTGAGCCCACGTCCTGCCAAACGGAACAAAAATACATCCACGGGAAGCTTCAGTGCAACCCCCACCCAGCCTGGGCGTTATCCACATTGCTGCACAGCCCTGCAAGCTCTCCAGATGAAAAAGCAGCTTGAATCCAGCTGGGGAAGAAGGGCTTAGGAACAAAAGCAGTGAATGCCCAAGCTCCCAGCCGCAGGAGGCTGCTTAGGAAGGGTCTGACGCCTGTGCTGGCCACCAGAGTCAGCCACAGGGCAAGGAAGTGACACTGAGCAGATGCAGAGCAGGTCCAAGCAAGCAGCACAGAGCTGGCACACCACAAACACCAGCGGGATGAACAGACAGGTTACAGCCCCGGAACAGGTTATTAAAACAGGAGCACAGTAGATGCTTTCATATGCTACTGTTTTAATTAGATCTTATTACATTACCTGTCTCCAGGTTTGAGGGTAATAAAATAAAATTAAAAAACAGGGGTTTTCAATGAATTCTGCAGCTTTTAAAGCAGAGGTGGCTTGCTTTGACTGGAGAAGACCTGACCTACTGCAACTCAGGCTCCCGGGATGCAGCAAGATACCAAGACAAGCAGTTACAGCCCCCCAGCGAGCAATAACTGCCCTGCTAGTGGAAGGAGCAAAGTGTCAGCCCTCATTGAAAACCCCGAGGAAAGTGATCTGAGCTGACCTAACGCTGCACGAACACGAACTGGGGAGCACTCACACGCCAAATCCTGGCAGCAGACTTAACACACAGGTGGGGAAAGAGGGAAACAGGCAACCACATCGTAAAACGCACTGGCTGTTCCCCAAGTAATACATCAAGCCCCTAAAGGAAAGAGGGTCAGACTTCAGAAGCTTGGGGCTGCAGCTGAAGAATTCACAGCTGAGGGAACAGCACAAAATGCCATTTCAGGGCCACCACAAACTGCACTCTCAGAGCAATTACCTGGGTAGCAACCTACAAAGGAAGCCCAAATCCCAACGGGCAGCTTTGGAGGAGCCTCTCCACCCCCCCCAGCTCCTGAACACGGCTGGTGCTGACGGGCAGGACTGCCAGAACTACAAATTCCTGCTGAGCACTGCTGCTGCTCATCTGCTGTGAGCTCGCAGGAAAAACACCATCATCGTGGGCTGCTGGAGATCATCTGTGTGGCCCATGCTCAGCTGTCTTTGGCACAGGCAAGTCTAAACAGCAGCATCCACTCCGCTTGTTAGCATGTGTGGAAAAACTCCATTCCCAAGCAGCAGTGAATTAGTAACCTGAGTTTGCAGAACTTATTAATTACCCTCCGCCTGCAGAACAGGGGACAGCTGAGCACCCCCTCCAAACACCAAGCACTCCAGGCCTGTCCAGGGATTTAATCTGATCACTGCTCCCTCCAACTCCTGCAGAGGACTGAGCATCAGACTGAAAGGTTGGGTAATCTGTCCTAAACACGGAATCAGGAGGCAAAGAACAGTTGACCCACAGTAGTTTCTTGACTGAGATCAAGAATGCAGATCACAATCTCCGAAATACCAACAGTGTTTCCTAGAGAGGGGGTGGTGGCTGAAAGGATTCACTGTGCAGGGATAGAATTAGTATAGGAAGGGCTGTGGGCCTGAATGCAGCTCATCTGGATCGAGACGAGGCTTTTTGCCAGTCCAGAGTTTATTTAGGCTTGCTTTCAGAAGTCCTGACCAGTGTATTTGAATGCTTTCTAAGAAAGGGGCAATGCACAAAGAGCAGAGCGAGTGCTCCTTGACTGAGTGTTCTTCCCTGACCCTTCTTTCTGGGCCTGGCCAGGACAATTTTTTAACCTGAAGCATTTCAGAAGACGACCTCACTGTGTACCCTCCTCACTCCAAAGGGGCGGACCACTCCACTCATGAGCAGCAGAAAGAACTGGCTAACAACGCCCTCCGTACAGCCCCAAGATCCACCCCAAAATAATCTGCTTAAAAAGCAAAAAGTCACACTCCATGCAGCATCTCGTGTGTGCTTAGTGCAGGAAGCATCAACCAGCAGGAGGTACGTACGGCAGGTGTAAACATCTCTGTACTCCATGTGCTCGTAGTCGGGAAGGATTTTCATAAAACGCCCCGACTTCACCCGTGGGTTTATACCTGAACAGACACAGCAGGGTAAGTACCAGAGAACTCAGCTCCACCGTAACCAGCACGTAACCTTGTGAGCAGGCTGGGCCAACTCCCTTGTGGCTTTACTTCCAGCTGTGGTGCACCAATTTGTCTCCATCAGCCCCAGCCTCAAGCCCAGACAGATAGAATTACTTATACACAGTTTAGCATGTTCAAGGTTCCCTCAGACAACATTTACAACTGGCATCCAGGGAAGTAAAAGTGAAATCAGGGCCCCCAGTCTCATCTCAGGACAAGTAGCTACATAGATGATAGCCTAGGTGTTGCATTAATCATGCTCTCTAACACTTAAGCTCAGTCCCTCACTTCCCACACTATTTCCTGTAGAAGCACGCTCAGTGGGCAGAAAAGCTTGTGTGAGTTCTGCCAGTAGCCCCAAATTAACTCTTCTGCAATTAGAGAGGCTTACAGGACAGCAGAGAAAATGGGGTCACACCAGCAGGAAGCTGTTCTGAAACCACTAATTGTTTGCAACAAGGTAAAATGTTGAGTCTGAGAAGGAGAGCCAAGACAGTGCATCCCCAAAAGCCAGAAGGAGCTGCCAAGCACCTCGAGTAGTGCTTGGCCATTCCTAGCTAGCAGCCAAGCTAGTTAGGATTGCTGAACAGATAAGGGCACGGTTCTTCTTCAGAAATGCAATGAAATCTATCGCAGAGGTGGTCCTCGTGTCAAGTGCAGCTCTTTGCAGACAAATCAGGCAGCTCCCTTTCACGTGCACAGACAGGGAAAGAAAGGCAGCAGGCGATGAAGTAATTTTGCCTGTGGACGCTCAGCAAGTCTAACAAAGATGGGATTAAAACCTAGAAGTTCTTCCTTCCCAGCATGAAGATCAATGCTTGAAGTCATCGCTGCTTCAAGGCTCAGCAAATAAAGCACATGTGGAAGTGGATTTTGGCTCTGAAAAGCCCACAGAGACTTCTCATGATACAACTTGGGCCAGTTACTGCTTTTGCTACATAAAACAGGACCTGATCTCAACAGCCAGAAGCCACAGTTCAAGTGCCACAGGTTAAATCTCTCTTTTTATCCCAAGGACCACAGATCCTTACAAAATTCGTGGTGGTGCAACCAAGGTAACACAGCCCAACAGTGCTGACACAGGAGCTCTCAGAGCCATCAGCTCAGCTTCTGACTGCAAAGGACCAGATTTGGGGATGGGGAGACAGTTCCTCCTCTCTGATGACCCTGCTCCTCACTGTAGGACTGTGTATTTATCTTGTAGAAGGCCTAAGGAGCTGGGGTCCCACTCACAGCCATCCCTAAAACACAGACACTTCCTTCAGGAGCAGCCCAAAGTCACGCTCAACCCCTTTACTGACTGCTCTTTCCCTCCGTTAGCATAATGGCATCCTTCCACTGAGATCAAGACTTTGGTACTTTAGGGCATGGGCAGCCTGCAGCTATGAAAAGTATCAGTCAATCCTTAGCAAGATCTGAAAAGGATAAAACAAACTGGAAAGACTGAGAAACCTTCATTATGCTCTATAGGAAACTTAAATTCCATGCATTTTTTCTACCAAAGGAGTGGGGGACATACATGTAGATATCCCATTTCTTTGTATTAAATAAAATCCCAAAGATGTTAACTTTACAGACGCCCTTGCCATTAGAAGGTAACTCTGACTAGCTTATTCTGTCAGAGTTTACTAAATATCCAACATGTCTGTGGTTTCAGAGTTGGTACTAAGCAAGGACACTGCGGATCTGCACCAGCTCTACCACTTACGTTTGGCATACACATCTCGGCAGGACACCCCGGTGATCTCCAGCTTCCGCAGGTTCTCACAGACGCCGTATTCTGCAAGACACAGGTAACATAGCTCAGGCACAAAAATGTTTGCTACCCAGGACCTCCACATCCACTCTTTGAGCAAAACCATGGGATCCTGTTAGTACATTCTTGAAAGCTGCAACCTGAGGCCAGGATCTCGTTGCTCTTCTGGAGAGAAAATGGAAAGCTGGATGTAATTTCATTGCAGTTTGGGATCGGGAGCCTAATGCGTTTTGCAAGCAATGCTCGCCACAAACACACCATAAGGAACACACAAACACCACAAAATTACAGCAGCTTACACCTAGTCTGGGAAGGGTGTGAAATGTGGAAGACGTACTCGTTATAGCTTGGAATGTCTGCTCATTTAGATCAAATCATGGTCGTGTGTAGTAATTATTTACTTCCACCGAGGAACCCAACAGAGAAAACAGCTTATTAGGATCCTAAGGAAAAGGTCACAGGCTTTAAAAAGAACGAAACGGAGACATAAAACAGGCATCAGCGTGTACAAATATGGTTACACTGGAAAGCTGATCAGATTGAGATGGGTCTGTTGTACGCTCGAACGGCTTTGATTGCTTACAGAACGCCCTCAAAACAAAGCAATCCAGAGACCTTAAAGGCAGCTTTGAAGCAGAAAATGAGATCATCTCATTTTGCTTTCAGGAAGTCACTGAACTTCTAAGAAACTCTAAGGAAAGAAAAAAAAGCAAGCACTCAGTGCAAGAAATCGTTAGAAGACCAGAGGGAGGAAATGAGAGGAGGGAGATCCCAAAAAATCATCAGCAACAAAAAGCAGGCTGCTGCAGCAACCCCATTAGCTCTCCGTACAGCAAGCTATCCTCCTTGACATCAAAGACATCCATCCCCCAGATCAAACAGCAGCTTCCCCCAGCAATACCAAACACCTGTCAGACATTTGATACGAAAGCAGGGCTGCGAAGACCCTCATCAAACCATTAAACACGGAGCTTATCCTCAGCTGAGCCGCCCTGAATCAACAACCACCCAGCAGGGCTGCCAAACACCGCTAACCTGCTGCAAACTGGGACTTCATCTTCACAGATGAGCACAGCAGAAGTTTCCCTGAATGAATTCAGCCTCATTCAGTCTATAAATACCCCGCTTGTGGGACACGATGATAAAGCACCCACGAAGCTCACTGTCAGCCTGCCTCCGGGGAACGCGCGTCCTGCGTGACATTGCTTTGGGGAAGCAGCAAGCTCGATAAAAGAGCAGGCAGAAGGCACAAAAGCACTGCCCTTTATTAAAAGATGCAAAAGTCCACTGCAAAAAGTCCTGCTGACTGCCACAGAGGAAGCTCTACGTGCACCAAACCCAAGGTGGGCTGAGGAGGCACAATTAGGCAGCAAGCAGACAGCCGAGCCTGCAGGAAGGCACATCCAGCCCAGCACAAACAAGCTATTTAGTGCTGGGCCACTGCCAGCTGACCCTGCACGGCCCTTCTGCAGATCTGGGGAAGCAGAGATCTGCTGGAGGCTGGAAATTTAGACCCAGCCTGCAGTCATCCCGTCTGCCCTTCCTGCAGGGCTTTGCGAGGCTCTCAGCCGCCAGCCTGCCTCCGGACACAAGCGGGCATGTGTCTGGGAATTACATCAAAGGGATGGAGGGAACAGTATGTTTCCTCAGCTGATCAGAAAGCCGGAGATCTTCTAAGGTGACAGCAGCAGCAGGGTTATAGCCTGCTGTTTGTAAACAGCCAGCAATTTCCATGTAAACAAATGTTCACCTGCGAGATGCGTGCCTTCTGCAGCAGGCCTTGCAGCTCGCTTCAAGTCAGCGTCACTGAAGGTATTTATACTGCATCAGAAAGGGAGGAGACACGCAGAGGATCCTGCCCAAATGGCACTTCTCCACGTTGCCGACAGCAATACCAGCACAGTGACATTCTGCTTTCCTCTAGAAGGTCCTGACTCCTCGCAGCATTTTCCCGATTAGATCTGTAAATCACTTCAGCTGCAGTCCCAGCGCAGCTCGAGGACAGACTGACTTCCAGCAGGCACCTCGAAACAACTGGCTGCAGGGGGAACGGGCCTGACGTGGAGAGCTCTGCCCCAGCCTCATGCCCTTGACAACCTGCAGGGAAATCTCCTGAAAGCAAGAACCCCGATAAAGGTGCATTTGCTAAGTTCTGCAGCTGAAATCCTTCCTGGAACGATTTGGTGTTCTGTTCAAGCTCCCTTCAAGGAAAAAAAGACAAACATCGATATCGTTCCACACTATTTGACATTAAACCCAAGGCTTATAAAAAAAGGTGTTAATAGAAAACAATCTCACTTGAAATATTCACTCATCTCCTTTTGCAATAACTAGGCCTTACTGTTTTGCTCAGCAAACCCGACTGCAAGCAGCCGAAACCCCAGACTGATGGCTTAACTCTGGGTAAGTGCAGCAGCTCAGTGCTTCTGACTCATGAGCTGTTAACATCATGATAGCTGCTTGATGAGAAAAATAAATCTCTTGGCTCCCAGCGCCTACAAAATTCTGAAGGTCTTCAGCAAGAAAGCTGGCCCTTTCTTTTTAATCCAGAGGACAAGAGGGACGTAGAATTACCGGTAGGTAGAGCTTCAAGAGTTACAGAAAAATAGAACTGGTGAGGTTTTCTTTATAAAGAAGAAAGCGTTTTCCCAGAAAGCCACAAAGGACTCGTGCTTCCTAAGGCTTAACTGCACTGAAGAGGAATTTCTGTTAAAGAAACACCTCGGTGCTGCAGCTCACTGAGTATTTTAAGGAGTTAACAGCCACAGAAATTCACACAAAAATTTTATACGGTTAGAAACTGCCTGCTTAATCCTGCTTCAAAAACGGGGCTGGAAATTGGTTTTAAAGTCCTTGCTTGCCCAGCTGCAAAGTCTGCTTTACGAGGTTTGCAACGAGCTCCTGGAAGACCTGCCAAACGTGGTGACAGGGTGCTGCTTCCACAGCCACGTGTGCTGGAATTTAAAGGATGTGGGAAGGTAGCCCCCACGTGTAACGAGCTGATACAATCTTCTGGACACAGGGAGTATTTTCACTATCTTAAAAAAAAATAAATACACAGTTTTTTCTGAGAGCAGCTGTTGGACAAGTAGTTCTCTCTCCCTGGATGCCAAAAACATGTTCTTTTTTATATAAAAAAAACAAACACTGTCAACCAGTGTAGGGAAGAAAGCCTGCACTCACACCAAAGATCAAACCACTGCTTTTTCTTTGTGTCGTTCTCAGCATGGCAATGCCAGAAAGCTGCCCCGAGCACTGCACGTGGACATCTGTAACTCAGAGGAAATGAGGATGTCTGCAAGGGCTTGACACACTTAGGACTGCTACGTTTCAACTGTGCCCTGACTAATCAAGTACTCTAATTAGCCCCGGATAAATGCACGCTTACAGAAGGCACAGAAACTTACAGGATTATTTTAGCCACCATGAAAACAGGAGATTCTCAGGACGGCATCCCTGAAATACCGGGGGGACAAATTTGGAACCGGCTTCTTGTTTCCAAAGGCTGAACTATCGGATTAAAATACACAGGATGCTTTCCCAAACACTTCCCCCAGGGGAAGGCTTGTAGTTACCACTGACACGCTCTGCAACTGCAAACAAGGAGCTGACCAAAAGGAGTCATGATCTGCAACAAACAACAGCATCTGTGGAAACTGTGAAGGAAAGAGACAGGGGAGCTTCAGATCTATATCTTAGCAACAGACCTGAGACCCTTTGCAGGATCACTGCTGTGCACTGCCATGGCAGTGAGAAACAGCAAACCTCTGGCTTTTAGACAGCTCCTTGACAAAGAACATGTTAAAAGAGGAAGAAAAGCCTACCACGGTTCACCAAGGAAACACCACGCAATGCGTTAACCTCACACGAAGGGAGTTTAAAGCCTTGTGACTCATAAAAGCCACTTTCTTATTTACTAAGGCCACAAGAAAGAGTTCCTCTTGTGGGAGCAGTTGCATGCTACGCTCCTGCATGGATTCTCCGGAGTCTTGTAAGAGCTAAACTCCATCCAGCAACCCCCTCTGAGGATACAAACCAGATTTCCCATTCTCCTGCCCAGGAACCTCTGTCTATAAGGCTTGCTGAAGGCTAGCGTCTCTAACACCTTTGGCTGACACTTGTCAGCAGGTTCAGAAGTTAATGGAGATGCTTTGGACAATCCAAAGCCTTTTCAGGCAAGTTCTGGATCTGGTTACTGTGAACAGCTGGGCTGTTTCCAGGTGTGGTTACTGATTAAAATCAACTCTCAGATGTTAATCAAGATAGGTCAGGTCACGAGCACGGGTGAAGCGTGCTTTAACTCTGCTCCCACTGCAGAGATCAGCAGCCTCCTATTTATAGGACGCATGAAAGCCACTGCAATTCTCTTCCTGCCAAAGAAGCAATTCAGAGACATTGTTTACCCCAAGCAGTTGCAATGATAAAAGGACAACAGTCCGAACACAGCCACGCCAGTGTTACACAACTGCTCCTGGTTAGTCCCAGCACTCTCTTGGTTTACAATCAGCAGCACAAGCCACTCCTTCCCTTTCCAGACGAGCCCTCTGGGTGTTTGCAGCAGCCACAACATGTTTGCAGGAGTATTCTAAAACTGAGACAGCGCAGGGCAGCGCAAGAGGAGGACACCAACTCTCAGTGGATTGAGTGCCCCAGCAGATTTGGGCAACAGCCAGGCCTTCCCTCGCACCCAGCACTGCTCCTGCCCGAGACAAGGGTACGAGGTGGTTGGCACTCGTGCTCTCGCTCTGTTTCTAGGACCTGCAGCTTCACAACGAGACACGTCGTGCTAAACTCAGAGAGAAACAGGGATGTGATTAAGAACTGTCCTTAGGTAGGAAGTGCCTTGGTTTTGAAAGAGATTAATAAAAGGTAAGTAATTACATCTGGTGTTTGACTATCACATAGTCAGTGTTGTACTGCTATATGGAAATACAGGTCAGGATTTCTAGATTTTAAAGGTGTATTTATATAATATTTTACATTTTTATAATAAGTCCACATCTGTACCCAGGTAACTGAACTCCCCAGGTAGTTGCACACATTTGAACACAAATTAGCTGAGTGTATGCAGCAGTACCACTGAAACACAAGCACAGAAATTGACTATGAAATAGGTCCCTGAAATGGTGACCAATTTTATACTTACAAATGCACACATTCGAAGATACAGTACTGCCACGATGGTAATTACTTACACATGTGCAGGACTGTGCAAAGCACTGAGAACTGGTGAAGTTTTGCAAACTCTTCATCGAGTGCACAAACCTGCATTAGCAGAGGAGTACAAGGGAAGAATGATGCTGTTTTATTAGCTGGGCTCCACAAAATGCTAAGTTATTGGGATCATCCCAAGCTGAGTGAAGAAATAAAGAACGCTTTGGTGCACATTTTCTAGGCAGAGCCTTTGTACTGCCCAAGGGTTCCTGGATAGTGCTGATAAAGCAAGAAATCCTCCCTGCAAGGTTTAACGCACTTGAGCACATCCCTCTGCCTACAGCAGCCAGCCATTCTGCCATACCTACATTCTTCATCCTCATGCCCTTCCTGGTGTTAAAAACAGAAAGGAAATGACAAGGAGATGTGTGTGACTCCAGGAGCTGGCAGCAGATGCACCTGGCAGGACCAGGCTACGAAGAGAGATGGATGAGCGCAGCAGGACAGGACCTGGAGGTGGGATTAACAGCTGCTGGATTAAAGAATGGGACAGAGTCATGCTGATGGGAGGTAAAGGTGAGGAGTAGAGACTAGCCTAACGGTAGCAGGACACACCAAGACACAACACATCCCCTAATTTCTGTGTTAATGCAGCACAGCGCCCTTCAAAGATGCTCCCCAGGAAATGCACATGCGGACCAGGAGCCCCTGGGATGCCAGCACAGCACATCCCGAGCCAGGGCAGGACAAGCAGCCCTACCCAGCCTGCCCACCTCCTGCAGACACAGGGGGCTCCTCGCACCCCCTTTACGCAGCCCCCACTCCTCAGACTCCCGGCTGCATGCCCGGTGCCTCCCTTCTTCCCAGTGCAGCCCGACTGCAGAGACTGCTCCTTCCCTATCCCTTTAACCCGAAATTCCCCCATCTGCAGGATTTGTGTAGTGGTGAAGGCAACATCTCCCAGGGCCTGGATCTATCCACTGCCATCCCAGGGCCCCCCCATTTTGCTGCCCTGCCTCTCACACCCCATGCACCCCTGGGGTTCACCCCCCCAACCTTCTCAGGAGCCTCCTGCTCCTCGGGGGCTGCACCCCAAAACCCAAACCCCAATCCCTATCCTCACACCCCCTGAGGGCCCTCACCCCCATCCTTCACCCCACAACACCCAACCACCTCCCCGTACCCCATCCCTCCCCCAATTCCCCACCCCAAACCAGGCTCCCCCAGCCCCCCGTTACCCCCCCATAAAGCCCCCAAACCGGACTCCCCAACCCCCCCACATCCTTCTACCCCCCCTCAACCCCCTTAAACCATGCTCCCCCCACCCCCTACCCCCCAAATCCGAGCCCCCCCAGCCCCCGTAGCCCCCTCCCCAGGGCGGTACCTTCACGGCAGCGCCGCCGCCAGATGGTGTCGGTGCGGAGGATGCGGCGGAAAGTGGTGCAGACCCGAGCCAGGCTGGGCAAGTCGGTACCGGGCAGCGAACCGAAAATCTGCACCAGCAGCTCCGGGGGCAGCTCCAGCAGCGACAGCGGGGCCCGGCCCGCCTCAGCGGGGCCCGCCGAAGGCCTGGAGCCCTCGATGCGCTCCGTCTCCTCATCGTCCTCCGCAGCCACCGCTACCCCGGAGTCCACCTCGGGCTCCGTGTCGGTGTCGGGCTCGCTGTCGCCGTCCCCTCCCCGCCGTTGCTCCCTCGCCGCCCCCCGCCGGCGGCAGCCCCGCGCCGGGCCCGACGCCGCACAGCCGGGCGCACACCGCCATGGCGGCCGCCGCCGCCGCACTGAGCCCCGGGGCGGAAGCGCCGGAAGGGGCGGGGCGGACAAAGGGCAACGCCCACTCGGCGCGGATCCGCCAATCGGAGAGGGGCTCGCGGGGTGTGGCCACGCCCCCCCCGGCGGTAACGGGCGCGCGGCGGCCGTTATCGCCTCAGGGAGGTGTGGGGCGGGGAGGGGAGAGGAGGGGGGGGAGTCGGCCGCCCTCTGGCGGGGGGGGGAGCGGGAAGCGGGTTAAAAATATAAATTATAACAATGTTAATAATAAAAATATTAAAAGTTAAAAATATTAAGAAATAAAATGTCGCGAAAATAAATCAAAACGCATTATTTTAGGGTCTATTTCCTCAAATGGGGGTAGAAAAGGAGGATTCCCTCTTGCCCCGTGTGAGGATCGAACTCACGACCTTCAGATTATGAGACTGACGCGCTACCTACTGCGCTAACGAGGCTCCTCGATGAGTACCTCCCCGCCCGCCGCCCTTATGGCGGCACCGCCCGCCCCGTCCCGCCGCTGTGAGGCGCTGCCCTCGCTGCCATGCCCCTCTGACAGGAAGGCCTGGGCCCTTCTTGTAAATGTTTTCTCGTGCTGTTCCACGAGATAAACCTTGTTTGGGGGTTTATTTTCACAGTGTTTCTATGTGGCCTTGATGTTGTGTTCCTGAAGTGTTTGGGGCTCTCTGGGGATGCGCTGTGAGCGCCGCGCTTGCAAGGAAATTAAGGTGTTCTCACGTAATTGCAAAATTAACGCCAACCTCATTCGCCTCTCTGCTCTGAAGAGTGGCTGTTCACCTGGGATTTCTGTGGTGAAATAGCTCTGTGCTCGCTGAAGTGCTCGGCAGGAGAGGCCCCTGACGGCTGCCTCAGCTGCGGTCACCACAGCGATCCGCCTGCAAATACAGAAATTGGACAAAGACGGGAAAGCAGACATTTAACCAACACCGAAAACCTCCAAGCCTCACCCGCAGGAGTCACTGCTGGGAGGCTGATCGGAGTGAGCGACTGCCAGGAGGAGGAATTTCGGATGGGAGACCCCCCTGAGGGACAAGAAGGTGCCCTGAACAGTTTGAGGGGTTTGCCAGGGGTCTCATGGACGAGCCTTGTTGTCCCCAGCACCACATCCCGATTTCCAAGGTCCATCTGGAGTTTCCAGAGCCGTCAGGTGATAGATGACGAGTCCAGGCTGCAAGGCTACACCAGGAACAAAATTGCTGTAACCACAAGATGAGGAAGCTCACAGCTTCATGCAGCCTGAGCCAAGTTCCTGCCCCCCTCGTTAGCTCACGTGCAGGATGAGGCCGTCATTTGCATAGCTTGGTTCATCCTCTGGGTCTGCGGTGACGGGCAAGCTGAGTGCCCAAATTCTGCTTAAATTAAGAAAAGCTGCTCCGAGGGCCTAAAACGAGGCACATGAGCAATGAGTCACCCAAAACAGTCAACGGTTTGGGAATCTGTCTGTAGCTGTTTTCCACCTGTATGGAATCATGTGAATTTCCCCCCATGTTACACTGCATTCAGCCTGCTACTCCAGCTTCCCAACACGGCTCTTGCAGGCCCTGTCGTGTCTGTTTGTTCAGGAACTGACGGATTCCTGGAGAGGACAGCAAAAGGACCGATGGCGAGGATGCACACGTGCATGAAACGAAAGACGTCCTCGATGACATTGCCTCAAGCAGAAACTCAGCAGTCTACAGCACATGCATCTTTCCTCCCTGCTTTTTTCCATTTCTGGGTTTTCTATTTTTATCCGGGCTTTCTTCTTTTCCTTTGAATGTTCCTTCTGTGCCTAATTACCTCCCCTCCCTTCCCCTCACCTACCTGGCCCATATAACCTTATTCCACAGCCCTGGCTCTACGGATGCTGAGCCCCCTCCAGCCCTCTGATCCGTTTCCCACTGGCCCACTGACCCCTTTCCAGCCCAACGCAGCAGAAAGCAGGGCAGCCCACCATAAATCCACGCCAATTCCTACAGCACTCCACTGCCCCATGCCCATTTCCTCCAGATGAGGAGGAAGGAGAGGAAAAGGCTGTGCTGAAAGGCAGAGCCCAGCTCTGTGAGGCACTGATGTGGCCTGCAGGGAGCAAAGCCCGGCAGAGGCTTAAAACCTCAGCGTTTACCGCCCTGCCATCAGACTACAAAATTGGCACTTTCTCCTCTGTTACCTCAATCTATCAGCTTTATTTGTGACAGCAGGGAGCGCAGGAAAGGTGCATTATCATCGTCTCACATCCTGCGTGGCGCTACCAAACGTCTGAGCACCCTTCTTTGTAAACACGACCAGGGGAAGAGCCCGGAGCTCTCCAGCACTGCTCTTTCAGGCAGGCAGCTTTCAGCCATTACCACAGGGCTCTCGAAAAAGGATGCGCTGAGAGGGAAAATTCATTGTTCCATTTCTCTTCAGCAATTAAGGAGCTGATGCAGCTCTCCCTACAGTCAATTAAAGTCTTCACACTCACTCTAAAGGGCTTTGGATTGGTCCCAGAGTCGGTGTCCTCATTTTCTGTAATCCTGAAGTGTTTATGCCTTCCCAGTCTGAGCAGGGATGTGCCAGTTGATGGCGTATCCAGTCAATTATACCCCGAACAACTAGCAGAGAATTATTTATTTTCCATTTGGCAAGAGGGACAGCAAACTGTGGCAAGACAGAGGAGCAGGCCGAGCCAGATGAACAAACCCCATTTGCCACATGCAGTACTCGCAGAATGTTTATGTGGCACAAACCTGCAGTGGGATTACTGCTTTGTAATACGTACCTGGAGGCAGAACACCTGAAAGAGGGAATATTTCCATGGAAAGAACAAATATATATATTTTTTGGTGATGTATACATCCCCAGAAATTATTTCCTCGCTATTTTGAGCTGGAAAATAGCTCTTCTCACCCTGATTTCAGAATTCCCCGCCTTCTTCCTTACTGTCTGAGCTTTGATTTCACCAGATTTTGCAGGACAAAAGAGTGGACAGACAGGTCTCTTCAGGGAAAATCCAGAAAATGTTGCTGATGATGACTCAGGGAGTGTTTTGCATCCTCCTTCTTCTAAGCTGAGCTCAGTGCCCTCTGTTTATGAAAGAGTGTATGGTCTTTCCTCAGCCATCCTCCTAATGAAGTATTCATCAATATAATGCCCAGCTGGGGTCTTGAGTGCTTGGGGACACTGAAAACTTTATGGCACTTTTACAAGAAGCAGTTGTTGTTCCTTCTGCTTTGGCCACGGGCCAGCCTGAAGAATTTCATTGTGCCCAACACCTCTGGCAGCTCAGTTCTCAGAAGCATTATCGGGTCCGGGACAGATCACAGGACAGGCAGTCAGGTGTTCGAGGCGCTATTACTGGGTCGGCTGCTGAGCAATGGTTGTGCAATCGTAGGCAGCCCTCTGAATCCCTGCATGCCTCGGCTCCTCACGATGTAAATAAGGAGGATGTTTACTGAGGCCACAGGCTGTGTACCACTCAGTTAACTGAAAATGCGTGGACATCCTTTAATCCTAGGCATGCTAAAAATCAGTGGAATATTTTGTGGCGTGCTGTATCATTCTACAATTTCCCTGCTGTTCTTCCTGCCTTTCACACTGTCCTTACTGCTTGCCAAGAGGTTATGGATCTTTTTGAGTGAAAGGTAGTCCATAAACACAGATTATTTTTGCTTACACCAACAGTTTTACTGTGTTTCCTTCTGAAACCAATAGCTCCCATTGACAACTAGATCCTGAAGCCAAGAAATGTTTGCTGGAACAACAGTAGCAGTAACTGATATGAGGGTTACGGTACATAGGTCTTGGGCAATACCTCTTGTATGGAGAGTGCAATGAGTTTTTAGCCCAAGATTCTAAGAAAATGATGTTTTTGTGATGGCACTGCATGTGCCCGTGTATTACTTTGGGTTTACCATCGAAAAAAGCATCTGGCTAATGATCTCAAAAGGGCTATACTCCAAAAGCCTTGTGAAATAGATGCCCAGCTAGAAGAGAGAGACAGCGTCAGTGTTCCCACCAAGGAATAGGCACATCTGTTGTTAAACCTCAGAGAAAAACCACACAGGAAAATGGTCTGTGAGTGGTTTATTTAGTTTCACTTCTCTCATATTACACTTTTATAGCCCCAGAAAAGAGAGAGATTTTGCCTCTGTGGACTTTCTCATCCCTTCTTGCTAGATTTCTTCTAACTCTGGGGGTAACTTTCACAGAGAAACTTGAAGGTTAGGATTGTCTTAATGGAAAATAGTCACCGTCATAAGACAAATTTAAGATTGAGAGGAGTTATTTTAAGTCACTGCGAACAATTCGATCCAATTCTGTCTGAAAATCTCCCTTAGTAGCTGGGTAACAGTTGCATGTTGTATTAAAAAAAAGTCTCACGCTGATCTTTAGCTGAGCTAGACCAATAAACACAATTAATGTGAAAGTACCTGAGGGAAGGCATTTTGATTCAGGTGAGAATGCAAGTTCGTCTCAGCACAGTGTCCTTCCTTTTATTTTATGTGGTCTTTCTCCATATGTCTGGTGAATTTAATACTACTGACAGCTGCTGAGCTAACAGCCCTAGACACTAAAGTGCTTTCTTCCAGAAAGGGTGTAGCACTGCAGAGGAATAGCTTCGTCTACACACTATAAAAAGCCTTTTCAGTACTGTTTTACCAGAGAAATGAGGAGATGTTTTGTAATTCTGATTGTGAAATACATTCATTTTGTTGGGAAGCAGCTGATACAGAAACTCAGTTCTCTCTGGATCTAGGGGTAAGTGGGATTTTTTCTCCAGGGAAACACTGTAAATATCAGCTCGGGTTCAAAGAGAGAGCCACCATTCATACTGCTTTTTTAATAACAGAAAAAAAAAAATCTTGAATATTTAACAGTTGGAAAAGCCTGACTTTTTGTATTTCAGCCTGAAAATTCAGTATAGCCTGCTGGATAGGATGCAAACAGGAGGATCAGAGCTAGAATCCAAACCCAGCTTGCATTTTGACCTGCTTTGTAAGTCTGGGCAAATCACATCTCTTGCTTCATGAGAAAATAGGGCTGACAGGTAGCGTAAGAGATCATTTACTCCAGCCCTCTCCCAAAGATGAGATCAATTCTCCCTAAGCTGTTCAAAATAGATGTCTTACTAATCTATTTTTTTTAATGTCTGTCTATTCCTTTGCTTTCCTAGGCAATTTGTTCTGGTGCTCAACTATTCTTACCCTAACCCAGTGCCTAACTCATATCGCCTTTCCCAAGACATAAGCTCATTATTTCTTGTCCTAGACTCACTGCATGCAGAGAACAGCTAATTCCCTCTTGCTTTGCAGCAACCTTTTGCATATTTGAAGACTATATAATGTCTGCTTGCAGCTACATCTCCTCGTCGTCAGACTAAATGCTTTGTAAAGTGTACTAAGACAATAATAAAAATGCTCTGTTGGCTAGATTTTTAAAGGGCTCTGCTCCAGTGTAGTCACCAAATTTGAAGCAACTGCAGCTCAAAAGCAACATTTTCTCATTGTCGAATTGTGCTTAGGCAGAGCTTGTCCCAAGAGCTATGTCCATGCTGTCGTTCCAACTGCGCCTAACACTTTTCTCAAATCCAGACTCGCCAGCTGTCTGTGCTGTCGACATGCAGACATAGGCTATGGCTGCGATGAAGAAGGAAAGGTCAAGCAAGTCGCAGTGTGGATCTAAGTTTCCCTTCTCACAGTTTCTGCAGATTATTCATGAGCTGAACATGTGATAGCCCAGCCTGTCAGCAGATACTCTGATTGTGGCTCTTCCTAAGCACCATATGGATGCTTTCAGTCTGAGCTGCAGCCCTACTAACAGTTGGTAGCATGGATGAAAACCACGTGACACATAGTACTCGGTATTGTTCAGCCTGCCTCCGGGACTCACCTGGACACCTCAGCAAAAACACCGAGTGGTTTCTTCAGTGCTCGTCCACCTGTCTGCAGTCACAGAGTGCAGCGGTCCCTGAGATGTATCAGTTCTTAGAGCATGGTGGGGTGTCCTTGCCAAAGAGTAAGTTTTTAAAAGGCAGCAATTTAATTAAGAAAGAATAAACTTCTTTCAAAACAGAAATTTGGGATTGTTTTGGATGTATCAGATTTCTGACAGTCATCCATTATGTCTCACCTGCTGTCTCTGGACACTGATGTGAGCATTCACACACCTTCGGGCTGTTTTCTTTTCCCTTAGTTAGTCATTTCTTTCATGGCCTCATCCTATAATTAGCTAGGCACAGGAAATGTTTGACCCTGAATCATAAAATTAGGTAACAAACCCTCATTCCAGAGTGTGAGCACAACATCACTGTCACTCCAGTGTATTGTTCCACTCCAACAAAAGTAGAAACCCTGAGCATCTCTGCTCATATGCTGGTTGGAAACCAATTTTTCTCCCTGTACCCATGTTTTGGTAAGGATGCTGCCGGCTGCAGCTCTCGGTACCTTCAGCAGCACAAGTTGGATTGTACAGTGCGACTGTGTAGTACTATTGCTGCAAAATCACTCCTATATTTCAAAACACAGTGCCTCGAACATATGTGAGAGAAGGGGAAGGAAAGGCAGCTGAAAGTCTACAGCCAACAGCTTGTGTCAGAAAGCTGCTAAAGGAGGAAACAGTTGGGCATTTTTAATCAAGACGCGGTGTCTGCAGGATGATCACTAGTAAACTTGGCTTGCAACTAAAATTGTTTGCGATCTAATCAATTCCTGACAAATAGCATGTGACTGGGCTGCAGGCTTGAAAGCGGATTGAAACACCTGCCTCTAAATTTTTTACTCTAAAGTTTTTACAGAAACCTTCTTCATCCTCATGACTGTGCGTGCTGGTGGCAAGCTGAGGGCAAATCTCTGAACTTGTACCTCTGCACGGAGGTCAAGTGGCTTGAGAGCTCATATTTTGGGTTGCAGACAGAGGAAAGGGAGCAGGTGGAAAGGACACGGAGAGGGCAAAGCACTGAACGCCTCCTTTGCCGTGTTTTTAACAAACCCAACACCCTCGCTGCCGCCAGAGACGACCCATGTCCCTGCAAGGCTCTCTCGATGATCTTTTAAAGGCAACGACCATCGGGAGAGATTGCTGAGGGCTGTGAGAAAGCAAATGCTGTGCTTACCTTGATAAACAAACAGTGCTGATTGCTTCTGAGGGGACTGCAGCTGCGTGTTGCTGGGAGGGGACGTGGAGAGACACCCTGAGGTGGCCATGGCAGGGTGTTCCTGAAGAGGGACTTGAAGGGACACTGAGGCAGCCATGGCGGGGTGTAGCTGAAGGGGGACATGGTGGTGTGTCGCTGAGGAACAACATGGGGCACTCTGAGGCGGCCATGGTGGGGTGTCACAGAAGAACATGGTGGGGCACTCTGAGGCAGCCATGGCAGGTGTCTCTGACAGGGAACATGTCAAGGTGCTCTGAGGCAGCCATGGCAATGTGTCGCTGAGGAACAACATAGCTGGGTGTTCTGAGGTGGCCATGGCAGTGTGTCTATGAGGGAAACAAGGTGGGGTGCTCTGAGGCAGCCATGGTGAAGTGTCCCAGGCACAACATGGTGGTCTGTTCTGAGGCAGCCATGGCGGGGTGTCTCTGACAGGGAACATGTCCGGGTGCTCTAAGTTGGCAATGGCAGCATGTCGCTGAGGAACAAGATGGCCAGGTGCCTCTGAGGGGGAACACGGCAGGGTGCTCTGAGGCAGCCATGGTGGGGGCACCCTGAGGTGGCCATGGCAGTGTATCCATGAGGAAAACAAAGCAGGGCGCTCTGAGGCAGCCACAGCAAAGTGTCTCTGAGGCACAACATGGCGCGTTCCGAGGCAGCCATGGCAGCGTATCACCAAGGAACAACCCAGCAGGGCGTTCTGAGGTGCCCATAGCAATATCACTGAGGCACAACACAGCAAAGCGCTCCGAGGCGTCCCAGGGGGGGGGCACAGCCCCTCAGCCCCAACATGACGGGCGGCCTCGGGCCCCCCTCCACCTCGCAGCGCGGGGCCGTGGGCGGGCGGCGCCACACTCGGGATGGCGGCGGCGGCTCCCCGGCTGCCGGCAGCGCCCGCCCCGGCCGTGACGCCGCCATCAGCTGACGGCCGAGGCGCTGGGGGCGGCGGTGAGGGGCGGGCGCCGCCACTCGCAGTTGGCCGCCGCCGCCGCTGCCGTGCAGGAGCCGCCGCCGGGCCGGAGGCCGAGCCGCCGCCATGCCCTCGGAGAAGAGCTTCAAGCAGCGCCGCACCTTCGGTGAGCCCCAGGGGGAAGCGAGGAGCAAGGCGGGGGGGGGAGCACAACGAGCGGCCCCCACAGCCTCGGAGCTGCGGAGGGGCCGGGATGAGGGATGGGGAGAGCGAGGCGGGGGGAGCCGGGCCCGCGGGGATCGGGCTTTTGGGGGGTCGAGGGGGTATCGTGGGGTGCTGGGGGAGCCCCCCCGGGCCTGCCGCCATCTTCGTGAGGGGAGCCCCCGGCCCCCGGGGGGGTCTCGGCCTGAGGAGCCGGGGCTGAGCCGGAGCCTGGTGCTCCGGGCGGCCTGAGGTGGAAGGAGCGAGGCGTCGAAAAGAGCTGCGTAACGCTGGCTGGGGCAAGGAGATTAGCGCCTTGCTGGGAAGGACAGCCCTGACAGGGCGCTGCCAGCACCCGGGGGAGCTCGGTGGCCTGAAACACGGCCGGGCACCCACCCCTCCGTGAACCGGAATGGATAAAAGGCCTTGCTGCAGGTTTTCCCTTCCTTATTTCCTTTCTGCTTGGAGCCAAGCTGCTTAAGACAGCTTTCTGGCCTCCCCACCCTCGCCTTTGTTGTTCTGCTCAACGTAAGCTGCTCCCTGCCTTGAAGCCGGCGGGGTTTTGGTGTAGCCGAGCCCGTGTTTCAGCTGCCCCTTGCTCTTGGAGTCTTCCAAAACTGGTCTCGACCCTGTCAACAGCCTCTGCTGCAGGTATTAAGTTCAACTAGGATGGCAGCCAAGCAGTTGCCACTGCAACTAATGTCGTCAGAGAACTGTGTTTATCTGAGGCTGACCGAAGCCTGGGTTTGAACACGCCGTGTACAATAATCTCAGCGATTTGCCTGGCTCTGGGCTTGTGCCTGCCCTGCTTCAAGGAGCTGTGCTGGATAACATCGCCACGACGAACCTGTTTTGGCTGACAAGTCAGCCCGGCTCCTCTCTGCCAGCTGCCTTGGTGGCTGGGCTCGTTCCCTCCACGTGTCTCCTGTGCTGCTGGTTATTTTCATCTTTCAAAAGGACTTTAATTAGCTACTGTCCTGCCCTTTGAGTATTAATGCTGCTCTGTGGCGTGCGTGGCTCGGGCTCTGAGGTGTGGAGCCTTGAAGTTGCTTTGGTGCATAGGGCCCGGAGCAGCGGGAGGTGCTTGGGGATGGCTCTGGAGCCTCCTCGACCTGCTGAAGGCTTCGCATACTGGTTGCCTGAGTTCTGCTTGATTCACGCCCAGCCTCAAACCGTGATTCACGTGAGTTGCATTTCCTCGCCGGGCTCGTGAAAGGCACACGGAGTTAATGTGGGCTGATGGAGAGCGGGGAGACGGGGCCGGCAGCATGCCACCGTGCTTCCTCTCCCGTGAGCAGCACCTCTCCCTAGCTGTGGTCAGCCTGTGATGCAACACCGCACCGTCACCCTCAGAGATGTTTAGAAGACGGCCTGGAAAGCCCCAGCGCTCCGAAAAGAACTGCAGAGGTTAACATTTGAGTTCACCGAATCTGAAAGTAGGGTGGAAGCAGATGCAACCGCCTCTGAAAGCAAGTGCGTCTGTTTACTTTGGCTCCCGGTTGTACTTTAGCCCGGTTTATAATATCTGTGCCATGATATTTATGTCTGAGGGGAGGTGAACTTTATCCCGAAAACTGGCACAGATAGCAGCGAAACGTCTAGGTACACACAAATCCACCAACGGCTTCTGCAACAATGCGGGCAGCATAATCAAAACAGAAAACTGTAATTGGGTAATACTAGAGCCTGCCGGGTAAGCTGATGCTGCCCAGCTTCAGCGAGGCTTAGGTCTCAAATTTTAATTGTTGACAACTTCCTCTTCTGGGATCTTGCAGAAATAACACAGGATATGTAGTCATTAGCTTGGGTGGTGTAACCCGATGCCATAAATTTATGGGATTGTGGCTGCATTAGTGGGCAGAAAACAAGAGGTGTGGGGGGGATCTGTGTCCTGTAACGCTTTCTAGGAGACCCAGCCAGCGTGCGTGCAATTGGTGACACCTCGGGATACAGAGCAAAGTGTCACCTGTCAAAGGAGAGTTTTTGGCTCTCAATGGTGCTGTGCCGTTTGAAAACTGCTTTTCCTGATTTTACTTCTGTGGCCTTTATTAACTCGCAGGTCCTCTCTTCAGTGCTTGAGAAAAATTAATGACAACATTAAATGTGGATATTTGAACAGCTTTTTTCTTTTTTGATCTCTTCCAGAGCAAAGAGTTGAAGATGTACGGCTGATTCGAGAGCAGCATCCTACCAAAATACCGGTAAGTCTCATTCCTGCCACTTCAATTTCTGACCTTATTTTTTGTTGTTTGTTTGTTTTGTTTTGTTTTTCTATTTTCCTGGTTAGAAACCTGTAAAAGAGCTGTCCTGATATGTCCAAATTACCATTTGGCTGCTCAGGGTTGTTTGGCCTGGATTTCAGAAGCATTCTCAGGCTAGTAACCATCAGGCAGCACGCTACAGCAAGGTGCTGGCTGGGGACTGGAGGAAATGGAGCTTTCCTGTGCTGCCTGTTGCAGTTTCAAAGAAAGCCACGCCCAGAGCGAGCTCTGAGATTCTCCAGAGCGTTCAGCTCGTCTTATCTCAGAAGTGGATGTATTTTTCTTCCCTGAAAGAAGAGTCTGCACAGGCTGATGGAGAAAAATGCATAGTGGTTCAGAGACTGATGTGGCTTTCATCATAAATCTGTAGTGAAAAAGACTGAAACGCCTGCAGAGCAATGAGCCTTTGCTTGGAGGTCTGCAGGAGTGCTGTGTGTTTGCAACCCTCTCCATCTACTGTTGGGTCACCTCAGTTTGGGGGCCCTCACTTTCTCACTTTTCCTTACCTGGTCAGCTCCAAATGCTGCTTAATCTTTTTATTTTATTTCGCTTATGGCATCCTCGAGGTTAGAAATGCAAATAAAGCATCCTAGGAAGCAAAAGGCAGGGACCACAGGATCACAGGCTGGTTGAGGTTGGAAGGGGCACAGCCCCCATGATCAGCGGGGCAGCATCACCTCTCCCGACCTGCTGGCAGTGCTTTGCCTAAAGCCCCAAGAACACCGTTAACCATAGCAGCAAAGGACTTTGTGATGTATTGCTGATGAGTTCTTTGCGACTGGGGGGCTTGGGGTGACAAAAAACAACAAGCTGGCCTTTTGGTGGCACTGGGAAGTGTTTAGGAGATCTTGAGAGGCAGAGCAAAGGTGTCAATCGGGTGCCTTCACCTTTGGTTCTCGGTGCTGAGGGCTGATGGTGACAAAATTTCCCCTCAGAGGGAACAAACCGCTGGCAAGCAGCAGTTCCAGCGCGAGGGTTTTCACAAGTGGCTGCTGCCTCCACGTGAAATAAACTTGAAAAGTTTTCGGCTTCGCTTTAACCTGAAGCTGCTTCATCTTTAAGCCACGGCTGCTGTTTTTGCCGTGCTGCTGGGCGTGGGGACCAGTTAATACTTTATAGCAGAGATTTTCTGACTTTTCTGCAATCTGCAGCCTTCCCAAAAGGCCCTTTCGCAGAAATCTCCTTTCTGACAGAAAATTACTTTTTCATCCACCTTTCAGAGATCGCTCAGCCGTAGTCCCCCAGCTCTGTGACCACGCACGGAAAGCCACTGATTTACAGCAAACCTCTCATTTTAGGTCAGCCGTGGAGATACTACTAGGAAAAATTCGGAGGTTCCTAAGCTACTTGCTCGGGAGGCAGTGATGTGTGCTGGCAGCCGTGGCACGAGCCTGCTTGGGGTCCCCGGGGGCTTGTTCTGGTTGCCAGTCGTGTTCTAGCTTGGGTCACTGCTGCGTTATCAGTAGCAGTTCTGGGTGAGTTAGGATGGCAGTGCCATGCTAGAAGGTAAATTGCTCCTGTGCTGTTCCCATCTTCCATTCTGCTGTTGGAAATAATCCGTTGTTCCTGGTCTACCCCATTAAAAACAGGGAATATTTTTCCAGAAGTAGGCAGTATTTATTTAAACCGATGTCAGAAAGCCTTCTCCCTGAGGTAATGAAATTGGCTCGATGTCTCTTCACCTGTGCAGCTTTGGAATATCACCACAGCCAGACCCCGTGAGCATGGGAGCGATCCAAGGGAATGGTGTCACGTAGCTGCCCTCGATTTAAAAGCAACAAAATCCCCACAGCTGTGGGAAGGGGGGTGCGTGAATTCTGAGCTCATTCCTTAAAAGCAAGAGCCGTGTGCTGTTGCTGGGCAGGGTGCTGCTTAAATTGGCAAATCTACGATTTCCTCATGAATTAAGTAGTTACTACATAGCAGCCCTGACAGAATTACTGGCTCCTGAGCCTTGAGATTACGAGGAGGAAATTATCTCCTCTGAGGCTTTATGCCCTGCAAAAGTGGCTTTGTTTCACGCCTTGGAGACACCGTGGAAGGTCTCTTGCAGACAGGATGAGAGGTGCAGGTGACAATAATTGTCACTTTGCCTTTTTGGGTTTAAGATGTTGCATTTACAAGTGAAGTGAAGTGGAATCTAACCAGCATCACGTTACTTTGCTGTGTTTAACAGGGGGGTGGAACTGAGGGGACCTGGCACTGTTTCTGCCTTTCACATCTGCTCCTTTCTTGTTTCTCTCCAGGTGATCATTGAACGGTACAAGGGGGAGAAGCAGCTTCCAGTTCTGGATAAGACCAAGTTCCTGGTGCCGGATCATGTCAACATGAGCGAGCTAATCAAAATTATCAGGTAGTATGCTGCGGCTTTGGTGTACGTTGTGTCACACGAAGGTGGTGATTCTGTTAATTCCCCACCTGGTGTGTGAATTTGGGAACCCTGTAAACAGAAAAATTACGTAAACAAGTGCTTGTACCACCACCAGGACAAATTCCTGGGAAGGTGTGATTCCTTTGGCATTGCTGGGGGAAAACTCTGAAAAGAATTGAGCTGTTAAGCTTGCTTTGGAGAGAAATAACTGCTGCCCAGCGCTGCGGGAGGGATTCTGGGGCTGTCAACCCCTGTCTGACCTGGGTGCTTCTGCTCCAGGGCCCCAGTGCTTCCTGCTCGCCTATTTTGGGCTGCCTTCTTGGTGTTCTGCCTGGGAGTCGCCCTCTGGAGTGCCTGCCTCTTCCCACACTGCAGGGGGAGTTTGGGCTCGCTGCCAGGGCTCCGAGCTGCTGCTTAGGGTTGATGTTGGCATCCTCTGAGTGTGAAGCGAGGTTTCCCTCAGTGACAGAGTTCAGGCCCAAAAAGCCCCTGTTCAGACCGGTGTGGTGGTGGCCCAGCTGTTTGCACAGACTGGCCCCACGCTGCTTACAAGAAAAGGCAGAAGGGGAATAAGCCTTGAGGAGAAATTGTGCGGTCAGAAATTCTGCTAGCAGTGCGGTTCTCCTGGCGTGGTGTCAGGGAGTGTTTGGTTAGCGCGAGTCCTCAAGTGGTAAACTCGGAAGCGAGCAGCGAACCAGCGTTTGCTTTGCATTGGTCACGGTGTAGCAGGTTCTTTCAGGACATGAGCTGTAAAAACTGACTGCTGGCCCACGTGGCCAAACAGCTCCTGCCTTGCAGGCTTCCACAGAAACTGCCTCCAGCAAATCCCGGCTCTTGAATGGGTTACAAAGCGAGATAGGGCTTTGGATGTAGGAGTTCTAACGAAGGAGTTCTAATGAAGGCCCCAGGCCAGAGGTTTGTCAGCGAGGTGCAGGATTCTCCCCTCCTTTTTCCTCTGGCTTTGTGGATGGCTGACTTAGCGCTGGCTGGACTTGCTCCCCAGCCAGCCCCTTGCCTGGAGCACAGCCAGCGAGCCGCGTGGGCCTGTCCTTCCCACAGGTAACTGCTCCTCGGCGGGGCAGCCCCGCTCAGCTGCAGTTCTTATTTCCTTGGTTGCACTTCCACATATCTGAGTTTCTATTGCTTGCTCAGCCCCTCGGCGAGCCTGATTTCAGTAGGAGGTTCAGCAGAACTGCCGTGTCTCAGGACGGACGGGGCAGGTGTCAGCTGTGTCACGCAGCCTGGAAAGCTGTTTCTCGCTGCCCTTCCTGTGCTTCTCCTCCTGGGGGGAGCAAGACGCTTCAAAGGTTAAACAGAGCTCTGACAGAGCGAGTTTAAGAGGCTCAGGCCCTGCCCGCCCTGCCCCCAGCGTGTGCCTGCATCCCCAAGGTCAGCCTGGGGTTGTATTTCCAGCGGGGTGCCAGCGAGGAAGCAGCAAGCCTGCCCGTCCTACGGGCCGTGCGTGCTCGCTGGGCGCATGGGGCTGCTGCTGCTGCTGCCCCAGCGCCGTGCTGGCAGGGAGCACCTCTCCCTGATCCTCTACTGCCCTCCTGCTGTGGTGCAATAAGGATTTCTGTCACGGGATGCGTGTGAATTTCACGGGTAGGTGAATTCAACGCAGCTCTGGGGTGGGAACTGAATGAATTTGGTGAGGGCAGCGCAGCTCTGGGTGGGGACACCCTAAGGCTGTCGGCGGGGGGCTTTGTTTTGGCCCTGCTGGCTCTGCCCGCCTGCGTGGGAACACCTAACCACCTCTCTGCACCCCCTTTCCCCCGGCCTCCCCCTCACAGGCGACGCCTGCAGCTGAACTCCAACCAGGCGTTCTTCCTGCTGGTGAACGGACACAGCATGGTGAGCGTCTCCACGCCCATATCCGAGGTGTACGAGAGCGAGAAGGACGAGGACGGCTTCCTCTACATGGTGTACGCCTCTCAGGAGACTTTCGGAGCGCAACCTTCCGTTTAGGACACGCGAGCGGCTTCTGGCCTAGGATCCTGGTTTAAACTCGGCCGTCACCCCCACTCCTCCCCACACACACCCCAGGGAAAGAAACGGATGTCACCTCCGCTCTCAGTACCTTAGCATAGTCTTGCTTTAGCAGGTGTCTTATCTTCCCTTGCCTTGTTTGTGACTATTAAACAGTACAGACGAGCACCTCCAGCTTTGAAACCTGCTGTAATATTCCACACAGGCACATTTACATTTCTGGACTCTATGAATGGAACCCAATTGTGCATGTGACAATTGCAAAGAAAGGGACACTCGATTGACTTTAACAAGCAAACAGGCACCAGTGAGGAGCTAAAGTGTTGCGTGTGACAGTTTTCTGGAGAATCTCCCCGTGATTCCGTAAAGCTATATAAATATATTTTCTTTTTTTTTAAAATGGGAAGGCTTCTAATGAGAGCGAGTTATGTTATAACGTTCCAAAGCTTTGTCTTCTGCAGCTCGATGAGGTTGGTGTCAGTGCTGCAGCGCGTTAAGGCAAGCGCTTGGGGTGAGCTGGGGGAGCACAACTCTTTTTGTCTCCCGTTCTTGTGGCACTGCCGACTTAGGAAACGGTGCCAGTTTCTGAAATAACTCATACCAAACACCACAGCTTTATTGTAGTTTTAGGAAGTGTTAACTGTAAAAAAAAACAAAACAAAAATACAACACCACCTGGACAGGTAACGTTGAAATAAACTCCAGTCTGCTATGAAGTTCCAATGCCTGTGTGAGACACTGTATGTCCCTAGGGGCTTGCTTCCAAAAGAAGCCATTCCCTCGCCCCGCAGAGCGTGCGGGGAGCAGGGAGCCGAGGGAGCCAGCACGGGCAGCGCCCGCAACGCTCACGGCTGCTTTGCACCCTGCAGCCCGGCACTGGACTCAGCCGTGCTACTGGAAGGACGACCCCTTGCTGCCCAGCCATTCTGTCACTTCTTTTGCATGTTACCGCCGGCGGGGTCAGGGAGATCTGCTCCTAGCAGCATTTTATTTTTTTTTTTGACGTCCAGGAGTTGCTGTCGAGATTTGACGAACAAATGAGTTTATTTCTTACCATCGCTGACGTCTCCTGCCGCTTGCATGGGGTTTGGCAAAGCTTGGTGTCGCTCCTTGCCCTGAGCGGGGAGGCAGCCTGTGCAGAGGAAAGGTATCTGGTAGGACCTGTGTTTTTCCTCTAGGTTGTTGTCAAGTGAAGTGTAGCAGGATGCGATTACTCGTGTATATTCTGTGTCTGTGAACTAACTACATCTGTTACTGGAAGCTAACTTACTATAAGGGGGGAAAAAGAAGCAATACTACTGCGTCTTGGCACTCTAGCTCAATAAGGTGTACAATTTGTACCTACCTACACCTCTTTGCATGAATCTTGGTCACGATGCTTACTTCAAATTTTTTAATGTTCTTTGTGTTTTTATTCCGGCGTAAACTTTTAAATGCAGCTTGTTCTATGTTTAGTTCTGTTTGTGTAAGAAATTGTTTAACTCATAACTGACAACCATACTTGTAATTACAACGTGATTGACTGATATTCCTGTACAAATGTTGCTTTTTTAAAATTAATACAGTGCTGATATGGATGGATTACATCCCAACTTCATCATGCCTTGCGTGGTTATTTGTAGTCAGCTTTCTCCAAAATCTGCCTGCTGGGAAGGGCAGAGGTGTAATTCTGCCCGTTTAGGGATGCACAGGACTTACCCTGGGTCCTGCTGACAATGCTCACACTCATCCTGAAGCCTTTTAATACAGAAACCTGTAACAACCCAGGGAGTTTGCACCCACTGGAAGGAGGCACTGCAGGTGGAACGACCCCGTAAAGCGGTTGGGGAAGGGGGAGAGGCTGCACGGGGGCGTTTCCATTCCCCCAGCGTTTGTTTCTGCTCTTCCCCATCTCCCTCATCTGGCCAAACGCAAACGCTTCCGAGGATCTTGGCTTCTCTGCATCAACTCTGCGAGCGCTGTCATGGGTTTGTGCTTCACAGCCAGATGTCTGGGGGCGGAGAGACAGCAGAAGTTAATGGAATAAAAAAAGACCCTGGTAGCTGCCAAGCTGGAGGAGCCCCCAAAGAGATGAAGCCCGTTTAAAGGAAAAGAAAAAAAAAAAGAGGAGGGATTCTGTTTAACTCTTTATTTTCCATACATTAAATTTACTCAGATAAAAACATTCTAAAAATGTACAATTTTACTTTTAACAAAGTATAATAAAACATAAAAATCCCAATACCAGAATACTTGACATTTACAATTCAAAATCAAATTAGCTGAATATTAAATATTTACAAAACTATTTAAAATATTTATAAAGTTACATGCACAATTTGTAATACTAGAATTGACCGAAGTAAAAGAAATGGCTCAAATGGGAGCAGGAGTTTCCTTCATTCCTAGTGGAAAGTTATGTCCAAGAGAAGCTGTTAATCTGCACTTGAAAACACACAGGATTGGCTTTCTGCATCGGTACCAACACGTTCCTTGCTTATGTCAGGAGAATTTCAGAGAGCAAACAGGTAGTTCCAAGGGTTTATCACACAGATCGAGGGGGCGGGGGGTGGTTGGGGTTCCCGTGGCCTCAACCAGCAAAAGTTCCTCGACTCTTGCCGCTGCTCCGTTACCTCGGCTTCGGTCCCGATCTGCCTGCATCCACCGCGCCCGACAGGGCTATCGCGAATCCCCAGCGCTCAGTCCATGACCTCCAGTAAACTTTCTTTGGCTCTGATGACACCAAAAATAGCCAGCTCACCCGCAGGCAGGGTTCTGGGTGATGTCATGTTCATTTCGGGAAGGAGTGTTGCTATGCCAAATACCACTCACTATGGGGTTGTTTTTTTGTTGTTTTTTTTTTGAGTACCTTCCCCCTGAAGCTTGCCAGCGAGAATTAGCATGGAACTGAATTTGGGGGAATGAAGCTCGAAGTGTTAGACCTCTACTGGACATCTGCCACGTAATTTGCTAAGATTTAATGACCCTGGTATGCAGACTGTTGAAAATGTTTCACAAAAAGCAAAGTGTGACGTGTTGTTTGAAGTACAAATGTTATGGAAAATCTGATCCATACCTTGCTTGCTAAAATGAGTCCTCCTCCTTCGCTCTCCCACTGCTCAGCATTGGACATGACGTATTTATTAATGCTTAACTTGGAGACTGCCAGTGCAAGGAGTCTGCTGGAAATACCATTCTATTTCGATTCTTTCCATCACCAACACTCCCCAAAGGAAAACATCTGAAAATGCACGGCAAGTCCCTCGCTGCCCCGGAGGGAAGACTCATCACCAACTTCTCTGTGCCCCTGCGGGGAGAGGACTCGGGATTCCCTTCCGCCTTACGCTTAAAATCATTTCTATTCCACAGTGAAATCCATTTTGAGAACTACTTCTTTTTATACTTTCAGGACAAAGATAGGAATAAATAGCATACTTTGAAATCTCCATCTTTCAATATATAAAAATAGGTTTTAAGAACTGGATTCTTTGAGCCAGTGAAGCTGGAACTACTACTCTAAAATGAGCTGCCGTACTTTTCGGGGCATGGGGTGGGGAGATGGACTTGGGCCTCTTAAAAACAGATTAAGGATTATTTTATGGAACTAAAGTGCTCTGTTCAGACTTACCAACTTTGGTTGTTCTTGGTACAAAGCGGACAGCGTTTGCCAGCAGATCGGAAGCCGCAACTCGCTGTGGTTTAGGGAAGGCTCGTTAACTGGTGCTGGCTCGTCTAACATTTCTCTATCACACTCACGTTGCTTTAAGGTACTCAAGACTTCTGAATTTGAACGTACTCTAAAAATCAGACTTCACCATTTCAAAACGTTACCTAAAAGTACACGTAAGCCACTTTAAGAAACATCAGCCTTAACTTTACACAAAGGAAACAATCCCAAAGAAAGCTCTGAAGATAGGAATGAAACAGTTTGCTGGATAGAAGTTCAGTTTTACAGTCCTTTTGTTATGGTTTCAACTCTGTGATGAGTATTAGACAAGACTATGTTCCCAGCCTTGGGCATTAAAACAAAATGCAACCGGTACAGAAAATATTTTCATTTTTTGCTGTTGATTTTTGCTGTTTTGAGAGGGATTTTAACACTTGCACGTGTGTTGAAACACAGATTATTTAAATACAATTCCGTTTTAAAATATTGTTTTAAAAAAAGTGAAAAAAATGTTAAGGTTTGGCTTTCAGCACATGTTCCAGGCCACTGGAGAGACCCTCAAAGCTGGAAATAGTAAACATTGTCAGTGAAAACTGCACGTTTCCCTCAGCGCAATACAGTATGACAGATTGTTCCTACCATTGTCTCAAGCTCATTAAGGCAAAGTAAATTGCATTGTCAGTTTTCATCACTTTAGTGTTGTAGGTCTGAAGGCTGCTCGTTCCGCTGCAGGTAACCTCGAGAAGCAGGCAGAGCCAAGAGAAGCATCCCCGTGGCGTGCGCGGCACTGCGTGTAGTGTGAGCTGGGCTGAGAACACACAAATCTGGTTCGTTTTCATTGCATAGGAATAAGAAATAGCTTTTTTTTTTTTTTAACCAAACGTTAAGCAAATTGAGACTTTGGTTTCCGTGAAGCCAAAAGCGGTACGAGCTGCAGGCAGCTGGGCTGAGCTCGGGTTTTTGCCATCCTCTGGGGATGCTCATTGCTCACCCTGGCCCCGCTAACATCGCTCGCCTCCTCGGTCCTCGCTCAGAGAGCAGGACTGGGGGTGGCCCTGAACATCTTCCCTACTGATGGGCTCCAGGAAAGTCTCGGCTGTCAGCCCCCTCACACGGCTCTTTCCTCGCTACGGGCCGATCTCTGAGCAGCTCTGCACGGACGGGGCTTCCCTCGCTCAGCAGCGAAAGTCCCCTGCACCACCACGGATACTACACGGATACTACTCATCCTGCTGTGACCTGGTGTGAGGAATACCTCCAGGTGTAAACAAGGCTTCAGACTTTAAAGGTGTCTTCCAAATTACAGGATGCAAATATCTCTCTGTCAGACATTTTCAAGAGAAGGCCTCACCCATTTAATGGTGTCAGATTCCGCGGGTGAGCCACGAGGATTAGTATCTCCTTTCAACAAGACAGGACCAAACTGTTTCAAATTAGCAGTTCAGGATTTGTTTGGCTTCCTCTCAAGTCCTAATTTAGATTTGTCACCCACAAATTATGTACGCTAAGTAGTTAACACCAAAGCTAGTCATCTACAATCTATTGCAACGAAGGAGGCTGACAATAAATCCTTCAAAGTCTTGATAATAATGAAGTTTACTACCTTTTACATGTTTGACTTCTACCACTTCTGAATCCTGTAGCAAAAGCCTCGGGGTAGGAGTCAAAGGTTTTGTTTTATATAAAGTAAAGCAAAAGCTTACAAACTCTGCGGCCAGAGTTCCTTTTTTTTCTTTTTTTTTTTTTTTTTAGGATGGTTTAAAATTCATTTACAAAAGCAGAATAATAAGGTTTCTGTGAAAGAGACCTATATACAGTAACAGGACGTAAAGGTTGTTTTGTGTATGACAGGAAAATATCCTTGAAGCCTTTATGACTCTGGAGTCTCTGGGACTTGGACCCTTGGAAACTAAGCTTATTCCACTGCTGGGAACCCAGCACTACCTGGCAATAAGTGAGACAATGAAGTACAAGTTTGTTTCCAGAAGGAACCCAAACTGCTGCGTGTGTTCTTTTGGAAGGGGAAGGAGAGACTTACTTCAGATTTGTATCGTGTAGTGTAAGCCACATAGCCTGCTGGTGCCAATTTTTAAAAGTTGGAACTTCTTTGCCTCTTGCACTGGTCTCAGAGTGACACTGTCTGCTAAAAGTGCAGAAAGCTTGAAGAGTTTTACATTCTTCTGTAGTGCAATCCTTAAAAATCCCAGAGATTAGTGCCTGATCACTTTTGAAAAAAAGTAGACATTTTACCTAGCCCAGGGGTGCCAAAGTCCTTCTGGCGAACGGCCACTCCTACCTTCCGCCTCCAGCTTCCACTTCAGAATGTAGCTGCCCTGGAGTTTGACGTTTCACCTCAGAAAGTCCACGTATGGCAACATTCTCCAGCAAAAAAAGTACATAGGATGTTGTACTTGCAACAGAAAATGCAGCTGGCCAGCTCCACCATCCATCCAGTACGCATCGGTCCTATGACACGTGGTCAGAAGTTCCAACAGCAAGATCCAAGCATGAATTTGGCAATCAAATATGGGTTCGATGCACCCCTAAGCTAGATTTTCTACCTAGTCTAATAAAGTAAAGCACCTTTGGATTAAAAAATACATTAAGCTTAACAGCAACTGGACGTCTCAGTTTTGTGTTTCAGTCTCCTTTTATCTCCATGGCTTACAGTATTTTCTTGCCAGATAAAATGTCAGTCTGTGGAGTCCAGACTTTCAGAGGGAGGAGCGTATTTCAGCCTAAAAGTACCTGGGGGAGAGGAAACAGAAAGATTAGGCACTTTTCAAACCAGTTACATCTCAGAACTTTCTAAAAGAACCTGCTTCTCATTAGACTTTTAACGCAATATTACAGCGTAACGCCAGTTTGCAGCACCCCTGTGAAGCTGCAGAAAAGACTAACGTCCAACCAACAGAAATGAATTTCAAAGCACAGCTTTACACAGTAAAACC